ATCACCATATGCATACTAGTCAGTGTGTCCCATCCCCCTCTACTAGGGAAGCAATAGCCATAGCTGTGTAGAGATACACTGCTCAGAACTCAGAATCTGCTTTTTCTATTATTATTAGATTCTGGTTTTCTTCACAGTGTTCACAGAATAGAATACTTTCAATAGGATATTTCATTCTCACTATCACCTGTGGCGCATGTGCTTTGTATAGCAAGTACATTTGATTTGATCTAATATGTTTTTGATCGTATGAAGCTGCTTAAAGAAGGATTAAGAAAGTTGCAAAATTTGTGATTCAGATTAAACGGCTTATCATTAGGCACAGAGATTACATATAGATATCTCATAGCATAGAGCAGGTAGCCACAGTAGTAATCTCTCTACCTATCTATATATTGTTACTATAAAAAATCATGTCATAGAATTACATTGCTTCAATAGAGAGCTTAAGCATAGTTGTACATCATTTATAGTTGATTACTCCTTCAGTGAACTAGCTATCAAACTCATTTCTTGTCATCGTTGAGTACTAATCATGCGAATATCAACTATGCAATCAACATCTATAAGAGTGATGGCAGTGCTGAAGCGTTGATCATTTCCTTCATATTTTTCTTCACATATTGATTACATGATAGTACCATGCGTAGTTGAGCAACGTTGTGGACGAGATATTATTATTGAAGAGCGAGTGCAACAGAGTTATGGGTAGTGATTTCACATTATTCGAAAAAAGATAAGGTGTAGAAATGGCAGTATGAAGTCAAAGTGAGTCAAATTTTTGCCTCTCCAATTTTTCTACTTTTTTACGATTGCTTCGATATCATGCGAGGTACAACAGTTAGAGAACATGTAACTACATACTTTTATACTATGTCAAGCCCTATCACACATATATCGAATGGAAGTATCTATGTTATCTGATGGCAATGATAGAGCATCAAAAAGTTGAAAAAATATTTTGTGACTCAATTTTGCCGCTCAGTGTACTTGATTTTAAAAATATAAATATTTTTTTTGCCATTTTACCCAAACTGCCATCGGCATTTTTAAAAAGTTTCAGTGAACATAATTTCCTTGTGGTTGCTTAGCCACATCTATTGAAATATTGAATTTTGTTGCCCAATGATAATTAACCCCTAATATGCAAAGTTTTTCTTTCTGGTTGAAATTATATTCACTGAATCTTTTCCAAGATGTTAATGGCAGTTTGGGTGAAATTTTTATTTCACTGAAATTGCCACTAGATACAGCATATATAAATAATTGATGGGTAGATAGGTATCTCTGTATAACCCCCATAGATATATAACACCTCCTTATGCTACTGCTAATTCTCTAGCACACCAAACAGAAACTCCTTATAGACAATGCTATGGCTATATAAGGCCTCCTGTGCAACAATAGCAATATTGGGAATTGCTATCTACTCATGCAACAACTCGATAATGTGTTGATAACCCTAATTCGAAGTGGTGCTCTGGTCAGCACTGACAGTTGGCAGCTAAATTGATCAGCTGATCAATCACATCTTGCCAATAAGCACTGAGAGCAACGATGAGCTGCTACTGCCCAGCAAGCTAGCAATGACCAATATCCTGTTAGTAGGGAAGTGAATATCAATGTCTTTGAGCCTGAATGCAACCTTTTCTGGCTGCTCCTTCTGGTTCTTCCTACTGGCTGTTCAACGAAGCATCTGAATGGGTCGAAGTGTCATCTAATGGTGTATTCTTGTCGACCTTCACATTATACTCCAAATTAATCGAGTTGTCCTTCCCCTTTATGACCCAGACCAGTCTGGCCTAGACAAATCCCAGAATATCACCGCTGCCATCTACTCGACAGATCCGCTCTTCGAGGTCCTGGGCCATGAATAGATACGTTTCAGCAACATAGCCAGAAATGACCCAGCTCAAATAGTTGGGGAAATGCTCCAGTGAAATTCGCAGGAGCTGATATACTGAGATCGTTGTGAACGCAATCTCAGCATTGGTTTAATATCTGAATATGCCGGTATACGACACATGTATCATTACCATGACGATCATCGGTGACAGAGAAGAGACGATAGATGCATTTTATTGCAGATTATGTTAGAATCTCAAGATCTGATTAATGTGATTTCTACACTTTTTCTATCCTATTCTTTTCTTATTTTTGATTGTGCAACCTGGGCGATGTTATAAAACCTTTGCACTCGCATCTTCCTTCCTTTTTCTCTTTAGCTTTTCTCATCAGTATATGTTCCTTGACTCAATCACTTTCTACTGTTACATTCACACCACTTGCACATATCGCGATTAAGATATCACTGCCTAACAGCTTATGCATAATCCGTGCTATATGAAAGGTACATACAATCACATATTATGCATTTTTCCCTACTTGGTATTTGCTTCCTCTTTTTGCCCTACGTCACCCACCATGTGCTCTTGACCTACAACACAACAATGGCCCCTGTGTTATGCCTCTAGCCATTAGAGCACCATCAGCTAGATATATACCAATCTTGTTTGCTCGGATGACCGAGCAAGAGTTATGAGGTGGCTAATCAGACAATACCAAATGGCAATATGGAGGCTGGTGCTCAGCCAATTAAAATTGACAAACGCTAATAGAGGAAACTCCACCAGCTATCAAATGTCAGCCAGCACGGAGAACTTGCTATTATAATTTATTGCAAATGAAGCTGTTTCACGAGCGATTAAACCCATCTTTTGTCTTTCTTCCCTCTAGCTTCATCCATTTTTAAAACGTAAAACATAGAACGCACTGCATTTATATATCATTCCTCTCTATAGTAGGCAATAATGGCGATACTTTTCAGCATCTTTTTTCATGGTGTGGATATCTTGCTAGACCACCTCAGCAGCGTTTGTCTCACCAAGCTTTTATTTTCTATTGGAGCTCTTCTGATAGGCTACAAAGCCATCTATGCACTGTGCTTTTCGCCGCTTCACCATATTCCTGGCCCCTTTCTTGCACGTATTACAAGCAAACGCAACCAGATAATCAGTGTGATGGGCAAAAGTGGACAATACGCGCAACACGAATACGACACATACGGCGAGCTGTACTTGCTGGAACCCTATGCTGTGGCTATTTCAAACCCATCAGATGTTCGCATTGCCCTTGGTTCACATGCTTTCCGCAAAGCCAGCTTTTATGAAGCAGTGGACATTTTTGGAATTCCAAACACATTCAGTGCCACAGACCCGGGCTTTGCTGTCATGAGAAGACGTCAGCTAGGACCATATTTCAACCCAGTATACCTAGGGAAGATGGAGCATGCAGTTATGAAACATGGATACCTTGCGTTGAAGGATGTGTGGGAAGAGCAGATTGGTCAAAGTGCCAATGGCAAGGTCAACATCAATTACATGAACGACTTCAGTCTGGCGACCTTCGATATTATTGGCGCTTTAGCGTTTGGCCAAGAATTCAATAGTCTCAAGCACAACGACGACAAAGTGGCCAAATGGGGCACTGCAACAATCATTTTGAATGTCGCTCGTGCAGCTTTCCCACTCACAAAGTACTTCCCATTCTCACTGCTTCTCCGACCCCTGGAGGTGAGATTCAGATGCCTATCCGAATTCTGTGACAAGGCAATTGCCAGCCGCAAGGAACTGCTTCGTACTGGCACAGAAAAGCCTGTGGACCTCCTTCAGGCCTTTATTGATGCGGAGGATCCGGAGTCGAAGACCAGAATGGACAGCCTCCAAGTCAAGGTTGAATCAATCATTGCCATGATTGCAGGCATCAATACGACGACAGTCTCGCTCGCATGGACTGTATTCCACCTGATGGTCCACCCTGAGATATATGTGAAGGCAAGAGATCAGGTTCGCAGCAACTTCCCTGTCGGCCATATCATCACCTATGCTGAAGCCAGAAGCAAGCTGCCATTCGTCGAAGCATGTCTATATGAATCCCTTCGTCTCTGCCCTGTATTCGGTGGTTATCTTCCCCGTGTTTCACCTCCAGGTGGCATCACACTTCAGGGCCATTTCATACCTCCTGGAATTGAGATTCATGTCAATTTCCCTGGTGCCAACCACCATGTCGGCACATGGACGGACCCGCTAAAGTACGATCCGACCAGGTTCCTCAATAACGAAGAAGCTTACCGCAACCTGCTCACCTTTGCCCCTGGTGTCCGCGTATGTCCTGGACGGCACCTTGCCAAAATCGAAATGTTGACCATGCCTGTCAAATATGCTGAAAGATTTCGATATGGCGCTGCCTGAGGACTATACCCATCTTGGGCCAAATGTCCTAGGATAGGAATGGCTTCCCGAAGAAGATGGAGCTTGCACGGATGTCAATCCTTGAGCCTGCAAACCCAAAGCGTGACTGTCGTGTGATTCTTACCAAGCGCTCATAATAGGAGTATGGTGCAATAGCAAAACCAATTGAGACGATAAACGTGAAGTTATAAAATATGAAACGTGGAATTGTTGGAATACAGGTAAACTTAACGTGGTATAAGCTAAGTGAAAGTAAAGAAATGGAAAAGGCCTATTGTGCACATAAACGAAAAGTGAGAGTGGAACTCGAGTTTATTTGATGAAAAAGCGAGGCTTAGATGATTTATGAAAGATATATGGCTGAAAAGAATGGCGCAAAGCAGAGAGAGGAATTGACCTGCAGCAAGGTAATCGACTTCACAAACGAAAGATAGTAGAAAGTCCGTGGACAGATAAAATCTACCAAACACTACCGTGGGTGGCACTCCAGCAAAAACAATCCATAGTGCATATCTAGATGCATTCAGGCTGTTCGTCTTCACACTCCTAAATATGCAGCGTATTGACCAGCTGGAGTGGATCAGCTGGCATATTGATTTCCGTATGAAGGGTCTCTTGGTTGGCGAGCTGTCTACCAAGACCTTGAATCATCATTCAAAGGGATCACTTGGGGGCACCATTGGCGATGGTGATGAGGATATCAGCGACAATGGATAGTAGTCGGCATAGGAAGTGACAAATGGAACAATAATGAACCAGCTCACTACAACTCTCAACTGTGTCACCAAAGTTATCACCTACCTGGATGAACTATACAAGCTGCCTCTATCAGCAGCCATTGGTGCTATTTACATGTTCAAGCTGCTGGAATGGTTATTGCTCATCGGATTCTTGATTGTGATTCCCTACTACCCACTGACAAGGAAACTATTCAGCTACCTATTGGATCTAGAGGAGAAAACTTCAGAGCTGAGTGACAAGCATGTGGAAGTGATAACAGGGCTTTTGCAAGGAAGTAAGGATGCAGAAAACTATGGCTTAGAGTTTCAGTTCCACAAAAAGATCGATATGTACCATGAAAAGTAGCTGGGTTCAATGTGGAGATGGTTTCTCAGGAGGGCCTATGCATCCATCATCACCACACTATCGCTGATGATCATCATAGCACTGACAATTGCATCATATACCAACATATTTGGACATTAGATCAATGCTGAGATTGCATTCACAATGATCTCGGTGTTTCAGCTCTTGCAAATATCATTAGAGCATTTCCCCGACTATTTGAGCTGGGTCATTTTGGGTTATGTGTTACTGAAACATATCGATTCATACCTTGCGATATCTCTGGCCTAGGACCTCGAAGTGTGGATCTGTCAAGTAGATGGCAGTGGTGATATTCTGGGATTTGTCTAGGCCAGACTGGTCTGGGTCATAAAGGGGAAGGACAACTCGATTAATTTGGAGTATAATGTGAAGGTCGACAAGAATACACCATTAGATGACACTTCGACCCATTCAGATGCTTCGTTGAACAGCCAGTAGGAAGAACCAGAAGGAGCAGCCAGAAAAGGTTGCATTCAGGCTCAAAGACATTGATATTCACTTCCCTACTAACAGGATATTGGTCATTGCTAGCTTGCTGGGCAGTAGCAGCTCATCGTTGCTCTCAGTGCTTATTGGCAAGATGTGATTGATTAGCTGATCAATTTAGCTGCCAACTGTCAGTGCTGACCAGAGCACCACTTCGAATTAGGATTATCAACACATTATCAAGTTGCTGTGTGAGTAGATGGTGATTCACAATATTGCCTATATTACACATGTTGTGATACTAGTAACTTAACATAGCATATAATTAGTGACTATAAAGAAACTGAGGAGAGCAGCAGAGGCACTGGTGTGTACTGAACTATATAGTAGAGCTAATATACTCCTGTATAAGCACTGTGGCATAGATCTAGGGATCAGGATCAGCTATTCAATAGGAGGCATAGCTGTGCAATACCACCATCTATGAGAGCATCCTGTTTGGTAAGCTTTATAATTAGCAGCCCTATGAGGAATCACTGTATGTCTGTATGCTGAAACCCAATCTGCAGACTCTGACTGCCAGTGACTAGACTGAGCTTGGTAAGCATGGTATGACACTATTGAATGGCCTAAACCAGTATGTTGCATTGGTGAGTATGTTTGAGGATATGAACTATTAAATTGGGTTAGGCTGTATTGCCTATAGAAAAGAGAATATATTTGGAAAGGACATACTAAGGCAGTCTTAAAGAGAAATAGGGTGTTAGTGAAAAAAAAAAAAAGGAAAGAGCAAGCTGACCAGTAACTAGACCAATTTGAGAATAAAAGAATATATAAAAGAGAAGGAGAATTGATTAAATTTACTAATGTACCCCCATTTGACAAAATCATTTTAATTCTAATATCTCTCCTACAGTATTCAAACTTTATAATGGGAGCCTTTTGGTAAAGAAGTTGGCAGTTTGATGATTAGTCAGAATATGATGATATTGATAAGCTTATCATCAAATATTTGACTAGCTAAGATAATGCCACAAATATAGCACTTGCTGTAATAAGTAGTTTTGCCATCCTATAGATCTGCTACTATTGCTGTATTATCACAGAATATTAAGTACCTCTCAACTAGGAAGCCTGCCTCTAGTAGAAAACCTATAATTGATTTACAGTCTTTAGTTCTATAGTTAAGGCAATTGTTTTGATTTAGGTATTAACTATAGAGTAGCACTATGATATTTGGTAGATCTCTAGGATACTATGGCTCTAGCAAGGAGGATAGCATACCCAATAATCATCTCCTTTTATAAAATCAGATTATAGGAAGCAGATATGTATGTGCATAGGATTTGGTTAGTATAAGGTAAGAGCTGAGGCAATCAGTATAATATTGGGTCTCATAACTATAGCTGAAAATTAGAGTGGCCTAATAATAGATACTATTTGAAAAGGATATGCTATTAGTAAGTAGGCTATAGCACAACTACTATATAGGTCTATATATTAAGCTAACTAGACTGGAGGCCATTCATAAATATAAAAGTTTAAAGAAACTAAATATCTGTTAACAGAATAACCAATTAACAAATAAGAAATCAATTACTAACAGTAGATAAATATTTTAAAAAACAGAATGTTTAGCAATGGCCAAAAAGATTCTAGCAACTAGATTAACAAACAAACAAAGATGCCAAATATGGTGCTTCTACGAAACCCCCTTCGGCATCCTGAAAAATTTCAGTTGATACACAATTAATATGCTTCTACTGAGATTAGTCATCACAGCAGTGACTGCTGGTTGGGAACCTTTCTGTATTAAAGACCGAAATTAAGATAGAAATTTAAAATGAAATTTTAGATGAAATCATAAATGAAACGTGGAGGGTGAGCTTCTGAGTATCATCCAACATGTATAAAAAAGGGGAGCTAGTACCTCTATGGATGAGCTCCTTACCTTTCAATTTTTCGGCAAAAATCGCCAAATTTTCATTAAAGGCCACCCTATTATCTCTAATTAACTTTCACAATGTCTGACATCCAAATCCGCATTCAACAACTTGAACACGCCCTAGCCGCTATGGGCGTAACTCCTGGCGCTACACTATCACCGCTTAGCTCTGATTTCTCCTTTGACGAAGACACGCTATCTTCAGTCCCTGCAGCTACCCTCCCTGTCTACGCATCATTACTAGAAGACCAAGATCGCCGTCACCTGCTAGCTGCCACAGCAAGAAACCGAGACCGCTCCTTCGAAACTCCAGAATTTCGCATCCACTGGCCAGCTATACGTGACCAGGCCACAGATAAAGCCCTTACAGAAATCCAGTTTCTTATCTCAGGGATCTTTCGTATCCTGGATGATGCCCTACTACGTGCCTCACATCGACCAGATGGTTTTCCCCTCAGTGACTTCGCACGCCTTGCCAACAACCTCTATTTGTTGGCGGCAGATGCAGCATCATTTGTCACAGCCCAGCGCATTAGGCGCATATATGTGGCTCATGGTTTGCCCCCACCACGCAACATTGACCCAGCTAAGGGCATGGCAGATGTCATCGAGGATATTCTCCACCAGAAAGAAGTGGCTCGAAAACTGGCATGCCCTATGGCAACCCGCAGACACAAAACCCGCTTCCAGAACCAGGGAAACGTGGGTACCCCACCCCCTCCTATACACAGCCGACAACCAGCAGAACCTCAGCGCAACTGGAGCAATCACAGTACCAGCAATACCAATGGCCAACAGCGCAACCAAAGAGCCCCACGCCATCCAACCCAACACTAAATATTGGTGGATGCCTCTGACATTTTACCAGCTCCTGGCAAAGAATATCGCCGCCAGCTTTTATTCGATCTATTCTATATTCTGGTTTCCATATCCCCCTCTCCAAGCCTATCCAACCCAACTGCCCCCCACCGCGTATATATTCAGACAGCGACAGAGCACTGATCACCACCGAAGTCGCCTCTCTATTAGACAAGACTGCCATTTGCAAAGTCGACCCATCAACACCTGGTTTCTACTCCCCTCTCTTCACCGTCGCCAAAAAGAATGGCAAGCGCCGCCCAGTCCTTGATTTGAGACTCCTCAACAATCATATTACTCCCCGTCACTTCAAGATGGAGGGCATCAAGACGATATTTGGCATGATGCAATGGAAGGATTGGATGACAAGTATCGACCTCTCCGATGCCTTTCTGCATGTGCCCGTGGCTGCAGACTCCCGCCATTTACTACGCTTTGCCTGGGAAGGCACTCACTACGAGTTTCAATGCCTTCCTTTTGGTCTATCTCTTTCACCGCTTATTTTCACCAAGGTCATGGCCGCCGCACTACGCCATCTGCGCAGCAAGGGAATTCGAGTAACAGCATATATGGACGACCTCCTGATCATGGCCAAAACCAAACAGCAGGCCCAGCAACACACCGACAGAGTTCTCCGCACATTGCAAGACTTGGGATTCCTTATCAACCCAGACAAATCCACAATGCACCCACGACAAGTAATCGAGCACCTGGGCTTTATGATCCGCTCACGGACAATGTCTATACATCTACCCTCAGCCAAACGCCGCGACCTGCGCCGCAGTGCACAGAAGCTCATCAATATAGGACATGCCACACCTCGCCAGCTAGCGTCATTTATCGGCAAAGCCTGCGCAACTATGCCCGCTATTCTACCCTCACGACTCTTCACTCGGGCACTCCTTCGCACCAAGAATGCAGCCCTAGGCCACCACTCCTGGGATACAACTATTCCCCTACCACCAGATGCCCTCCACGAACTGCAATGGTGGCAGCAACGCCTACTCCTCTGGAACGGCCAGTGTTTTCTGCCTCCACGCCCATCTATGGAGATTTTCACAGACGCCTCTTCAGATGGCTGGGGCATCGTTACACCAGAACGCACTATCCAAGGAAAATGGCAACAGCACGACAGGTTGCGACACATCAACTACAAGGAATTGCAGGTCCTCAGCTATGCAGCAACACTACAGGAATGCCAAGGGAAGCATATCCTAGTACACTGTGACAACAGTACAGCCCGTGCCTATATGAACAACCAAGGTGGCACATTCTCCCCTCAGCTTTCACACCTAGCAGAGTCAATCTGGCACCGATGCCTCCAGTCAGCAACATCACTACAGGTTGTGCATATCCCATCAGCAATGAACCCAGCCGATGCACCATCCCACGCACAGAGCAGCAAGACTACGTGGTACCTACACCCACACACATTCCACAGGATCTGCCAGCAATGGGCGCCAGCAGTGCAAATTCCGTATGCACCACAGCTCGACCTCCCACAGCTACAAATCACCCAACCGCTATATCACCAGTGGCCACACGGCCAGCATCTCCTCTGCATCCCACCATGGCATATGATCCTAGCCATCCTACAGAAGATTCAACGCGAACACCTACACAACGTTGTTCTTCTTGTCCCCTATTGGCCATCCGCTCCATGGTTCCCGATACTTCTACAGCTCCAACAGGGCCAACTACTGCACATTCCCCCCGACCACATTTGCCCAACCAGCACAACACAACAACATCCACTAGGCCGCAACCCCCAGTGGTCCCTCATCGCCTGCTGCGTCAGCGCCAGCAACTAGCAGAAGCTGGACTAAGCAGTGATGCTATCTCAATTGCACTCCACCCAGCAGCACAAACAGCCCGAACCCGAGCCTATTCTTCTATCCAGGACCGGTTCAGTACCTGGTGTGAGGAACGATCCATTCAGGCTACAAAAGCAGCAGCAGCCGACATCGTTAATTTCCTTGCAGAAGGACGGGTCCACCTACACTGGGAGCCGAGCACTATCCTTAACTACAGATCCGCACTTCTTGATATGCAAGATGACCCCTCACGACTCACCCACTCTGGGGCATTCTCAGCATTCTTCACTGCTATTGATCACTCTGCACTACTCTCATTCGACAAATCTGCACCAGATATCTCCCCTATCCTTACTAGTTTCCTGCTCACTTGGCCCATCTGCAACTCTCTCTATACCAGACCTTACACGCAAATTGTGCTGGCTCCTCGCTGTCACTGGCTTTATGCGCCCATCAGACATTGCCAGAATTGATGCTTCCCGATTAGCCATACACGCAGATCATGCTTACCTAATAATTGTTGCTCCTAAGGAACTACGCAGAGGTCGCCAAATCGAATGGCCAGTCCACATCCATAGGCATCCAGACCCTCTCATTTGCCCTGTGGACTGCTTAACGGCTTACAAAGCCAATATACTCGATATATATCCAGCAGCCCCAGCAACTCACCCGACGGCCCCTCATCTCAAATTCACACCACTTATCCGTGATCAACGACGCCCCTTCCATGGTATTGGCACTCAACGCATCTCCAAACATATACAGGCCATTATGTCCCTTATCACTTCCTCTCGCCGAATCTCAGGGAGGTCCCTTGGCTCAGACGCTGCCTCTAAACATGGAGCCTCTCTTGACGAAGTACTGACACAAGGTTTTTGGTCTGCGGCAGGGGTCTTTGATACCCACTACCGCATTAACCGCCGCTCACAGACCAACCTGACGACACTTGCTCTGCGAGCACCTTCTCCACATACCAGCAGTCACTGCTGTGATGACTAATGTCATCCTGAACGAACGTCTCGTGACGTTCTGGAAACATTAGTCGAACAGCAGTGACTGCTGCCCTCCCTCCTCTCCCTCTCTTCCGAAAAATTTTCCGGTAAGGAGCTCATCCATAGAGGTACTAGCTCCCCTTTTTTATACGTGTCGGATGATACTCAGAAGCTCACCCTCCACGTTTCATTTATGATTTCATCTAAAATTTCATTTTAAATTTCTATCTTAATTTCGGTCTTTAATACAGAAAGGTTCCCAACCAGCAGTCACTGCTGTTCGACTAATGTTTCCAGAACGTCACGAGACGTTCGTTCAGGATGACATTATTAGTATCAACTTTATATTATATAGCTAAATGAATTTAATAAATTATAAAAGCCTATCAGCAAACTACAAATATATTCATATAGGAATAATTTCAGGATATTCTAGGTGACTTTATTATTCTATTCAGTACATCTCTAGTACCATTATCAATATATAATCTTAAAATATATTGTTAGGTAGAGAGTAGTTAGATGTTTAATATTTTTGATATTTGGAATGTTCCGAACGAACAACAAAACAGAATTAAAGAGGGAAAGGGCAAGGAGATATATCTTATAGACAATAGCTGTGCCCTAACCAAGAAGTGCTACACCGTCGATTTGATGCTGAACGAGCCTCCTGATTAAGTACAGTCAATGTCAGACCCAAAAGTCAGAGTTTGACCGCCCATTGCCTTCAGTGGAATCATTACTCCGTTGGTCGTGTGTCTGAGCTGATATAGTTCTTTCGCTTGACGTAGATGATTGATGATGAGCATTGCTTGATAACGTACGATCCGAGTCCCGATGCCTTGCAGCATGTGTTACATTGCGTACCGCATTTGGCGGTGGCACAGATGGCCTTTGGGGCCTACTTGTGCTACTAGTAGTAAGGTTGCCGCCACGCGTCATACTGCCTGCGGCTAGTGATGACTGTGCACCGCCACTATACCTGGTACATGGCCCTTGTGTGGAGCTTTCTGGCATCTGCTGCGGGTCGGCAGAATCATAGAGCGGCGGCTCATCGGTATAGGGGAATACCGGGCTTTCAGGAACGACAGGGCGGTTGGATTCCAAGTCGGCAAACAAATCGGCCTGTCCGATATCCGACCAGTCAATGTCAGACAGAATTCCATTCACGGTGTCAAGGTCAACAGCATCACCACAACCACCCTTGGGTAACTGCGCACGTGTCTGTGGAGTTTCTAGCTGGCTCTGTTCAAGCGATGCTTCAGTAGAAGACGATGCTGCGCTAGCTGTGCTCGCTCGGCGGTTAGCTCCTGGCTCGCCTACGTCAAGCAGATCGTCGTCTGTCAGACCATCAATCCCAGAAAGAATGTCGTCCAAGTCGGCTTCAATGTTGTTGTTTTCTGCGCTGGCAGCGGCTACAAAGAGACGAAAAATTTTCAGTGGAAAGGAAAAATCAAGGCAATCAGCGGTGGCTGCGATCCAAGAATTCACTGCAAAACAACGGTACTTACCTGGCAATGCGTTGTTGCTTGGGATGCTTTGTGGTGGCTTTTGCACATGTGCTAGCATGCTGTTGTTCGCTCTTGGGCGGAGCTGTGTATCTTGTGCCTATAGATGCACCCGCCACACTGTTGGCTGCTTGAGCAGATATGCCAGGCATAGGTACTACCTCAGGCGCTGGATTCATACGACGGACCTCGTGGGCAGGTGTGGCTTGTGTGTGGCCTGCAAGTGGAGGCTGTGCAGGCGTCGTGGTGAGGACGGGTACTGGAGATACCTGCTGGTTGCTTGTAGGTGTTGCTACGGCACCAGGGCCTGCTGCGACCAACCTGCCATCCAGATCGCAATTCCGGAACAGTGTACTACCAGACATGGTCGTCCGCGGCTGCTTGGGCTCGCTGGAAACATGCCGCAAGAACTCTTTATCGTATATACAGTTGCCCAGAACGTTTCCAAACTGGCGCATCGCACGCTTCAGCGCATCCGTGACAGCCTCCTTTCTGACCTTTTCGAAAGCCTGTGCCTTCGACCTGCAGTTTTCGATGATTCCATATCCACAGTCCTCCCGGTAGGTGCCGTCGCGCAGAGTAACACGCACCATGCAGCTGAGGCCGATAGAGACGTTGTTTGTCTTTGGGTCTACATCGACAAAGTCCACGACCATGTTGAACAGGTTCGACCTCCAGCCGTTGAACCCGAAAACCTCGTTGGCGATGCTGATGATCCGCCAACCTTCGATGTATGCCAGGCGCGTGCTTCCCATTCCACGACGTGAGCTGATGTGCTCAGGACCCAGCTTTTTGCTGAGTGCTATTTGGATCCGAGCTGTGTCGTCGGGCGAGAAAGGCTCGTTGGGAATATTGTCGACTGGCTGATAGGGCGCAGACGGCCTGAATATGGCGTCATTCATTTGTAGCATTATGTGGAATTGGTTCGTGTGTAATTGCAAATGTTGGGAGAGCAGCAAGGGGTGAGCTAAGCACACGCTAGCCTAACGACATGGAAATTGGCGATGCTGATCCGATCCGGTGATTATCTGATTTCAACACTGCCCAGCCGTACCGTGCTTGATCTGCTTGACAAGCGCCGAACCGTGCGTGCATACCGACATTGCCTCTCTCTTTCCTGCTTTTCTTTTCACCTCGGAACCTTCGTACTCCAAATTTTAAATGAGTGCCCATGTCCCTATTCCTGACATTCCCGGCGTCCGCGTCCCATTTGAGGAAACAAAGTCATTGCGGAGACGCGTTGGCGACATCGCGAACACAGGCAAATTCACGTTCCCGGGGTCACAGCCGGTGAGCTTCACGAAGACACAGGCTATGGCAGAGCTCATGACATCGGACTACCTAGTATGCGAAAAGTCGGACGGCGTGCGGGTCTTGGTGCTGATGCTGTTTGACAAAGACATGCCACAGACGTTCTTTGCGACTCGCAAGAACGAGTACTTTTATGTTCGCAATGTGGCCTTCCCAGCGCCATACCAGAAGACCCCATATGAGAAATACCATCATAACACACTTATTGACGCGGAGCTGGTGGTTGATGTTGAGGCAGACGGGCGGCGGGTCATGAAGCTGCTCGGGTTTGACGCGCTGGTGATCAACGGAAAGAACATCATGAACCACCCGCTTGACAGGCGCCTTGACTACCTAAACAGACATGTTATAGCCCCGTACCAGGAAATGTGCCGTACCTGCCCGACATACTGCAGAGGGCAGCCGTTCATGGCCGAGTTCAAGCGATTCGAAAACAGCTTTGCGGTGCAAACGATACAGAGGGAGGTCATACCAAAACTCAAGCACGAGTCGGATGGATTGATATTCACATCGCGCGTAGCGCCATACACGCCCGGGACGTGCAACAAAATCATGAAGTGGAAGCCAGCGGGCGAAAACTCGATAGACTTCAGGGTGCGGGTAATTGCGTCGTCAACGACAAGTCCGCCAGAGATTGAGCTGCTCGCGTGGCATGGGGGCAACGACTACCATCCATTCGCAAAGATGGCGATGCGGCCAGAAGATTGGGATCGGACATTTAGCCGCATCTCCTCTTTCAACGGATCGGTCGTTGAAGTCAGCTACACGCCCGACTACTGCCCGCCTCACGTGTGGAAGTTTATGCGGTTCCGCAACGACAAGCCACACGGCAACCATATATCTGTAGTCGACAAGATCATCGCCAGCATCAACGACAGTATGGAGCTCGATGAGCTGCTGGCAGAAATGCCGCGCATTCGCACTGAATGGATGAAGCGAAACAACGCTCCACTGTAAAGCAACTTGGCAGAACCCAATCCAATTTTTATCGGCGATATGTGGATTATGAGCAATGAAGAGTGTTTAATGTATGAAAGGAAAATGTGTGCAAGTGAAAAACGCGCGCCCACCCAGCATCTACACCCGGCTCTGGATCATGGACTGGATTGTCGACTGGATGAATTCGCGGCGTGACGACAGGTCAACGCCAAAGATCCGCGACAGCTCGTCGCGCACCTGCTTCATAGTGATGGTAGACAGGTCCGAGTTGTCGAGGATGTTGGAGATGGTGGCAGCAATGGCTTCGTCAGACGGCATCTGCGAGCCCGACATCTGCAGCAGATTGTGGTTGGATGTTGCGGCCTGCTGTGGCGAGGGCATACTGCTACTGTAGTACGAGTACTGCACGGGCGTGCCAAGTCGAGGCATCTGCATCTGAATGGTCTGGTTCTCAAAGCTCTGGCCCATCACCGACTGCGCCTTGTCCATCGCCGTCTGTCCGCCCAGCCCGGTGACTTGGGTGAAGCGGCTGACGGGTCTCACTCCGCCCATTCCGAACTCGTCGATAGCCTGTGCAAACTGCCTCGAGATCCTGCATCTGGCGCTGGCGCTCAAATATCTCACTCTCATATTCGGCCCAGGTTTTCATCGGTATCTCGCTTGGGTCAAATGGCTCTTCGTCCTTGACAAAGATCTGGCGCTTTCCGTCCTCGCCAACGACAATGCGTGTGTTGCCCCAGGAAAAGTCGTCCATGTGCCAGAAGGCGTAGACTGGGATGAAGAACGACCACAGCGGGTAGGCAAACAGATAGATGATCATCCAGCCAATGTGCTGCCACTGACGCTTCAAGATGAAGATGACGGCCTGCAGGCCGTAGATGGCGCCAATGAGGACAAGCGAGATGTAGCCGATGTCGCTGATCTTCGACACGCCGACGTAGATCAGATACGCAAGGTAGAACAGCGTGCAGGGCATGGTCAGCGTACCAAACAGATCGATGAACACGACAAACCGCATCGAGAAGCAGCAGAAGCCGCACATTTCAGGCAGGAACACGAGCTCAACCAGGTTGTGCACTGTCGAGTTAATCCAGCGACGGCGCTGCGAAAGAAGCACCGACCACGTGTCTGGGGCTGTGGTCTTGCACTTTGCATCGGCGGTGAACGTCATCTTGTACTGCGGGAAGTACTTCATCATCAGGGTGGTCAGGTACCGATCCTCGCCAAGCGACAGCAGGTTCTTTTTGTGCAGCGTGTCGACGTGGTTTTCGGCGTAGTCGTCGATGACGTTCTTGGAGATGATAAGCGGGGATCCCCGCTGCGTGCGCAGACGGTACATGCAGAAGCAGCCAGGAAGGCAGGTGACCGAGCCAAATAGCGACTCGAACGCCTTGGCCATGTGGTGCGAAATGAAGTACTCGTAGACCTGGATCATGGTTGTCCACGAAAAGTCCTCGTTTGTCAGCTGCGTCTCGCCACAGATGCCGATGACCTTGGCGTCGTGCACCATGCAGGCAACCAGCCGAGTCAGCGAGTCTGGGTACACCTCGGTATCGGCGTCGACCATGAGCACATACTCGTACAGGGACGGGTGGACGCCAATGACATTTTTCATCTGGTGGTAGATCTCGAGGTCAAGTGGCGACATGGGGGCCTCAAAGTGCAGGCGGTTCAGGAAATGCAGCAGCAGCATCTGCGAGTCACGCTTGCCTCGGTTGCCAGGGCGGGACTTTTCTGTCGGCTTTCCGATCTTGGCAACAACCAGGTACGGCACAACGTGGCCCTCGTACTCGTACAGCCCCGAATACACCTTGGCCATGTTGTGCTGCTGGCCGCCCTCGCCAATCGAGCGGAACGAGCGCGAAGGCGGGTCGAGCTTGGGATCGACGCCCAGGATATCGAGCACAATACGCGGCGTGGGGCGGTCGTTACCAGAGCCCACAATGTTGCCGTCGCAGATGATGAAGAGGAGCCGGTGCTTGTCGTCGTAGCCAAGGGTTGCCAGCGAGTCGATGGTGCGGCGTAGCGATGTCTCGCCCTCAGTGTAGCAGGGGACCTGGCAAATGACAAACTTGTCGTGCTTTTGCGGCCTGCGACGCGACGACAGCTGCAGCGATGCCAGGAACTTGATGCCGATCACCACCATGAGCAGACAGGCGGCGGCCAGCAGCAAGAAGTTGGGGAACAGGCAGCGGAAGCTGTGGCGCGAGTCGACCTTGCCGACGTAGAACAGGTTCTTCAGGCAATGGTAGTTTGCAGCACGCACCTGCTTGGTCAGCGGCAGCATCCTCCAGTACTTTGTGATGTCGGTGTCGCGGGCACCCGCGTCCTCAAAGATCGACTCGACCAGGCGGTGCAGGAACCGCCATTTCTTGATGTCCACGTTCTCGGGCGAGTCGCGCGTCATGAAGTACGAGTTGAGGTTGAAGACCTCGCCGTTGATCACCCGCCAGTACGCGCCGCCCTTGTGGTGCATGCTCTTGATGTACTTTAGCTCCCATACGACATCCCCCATCTGGAACAGCTTCATCTTGGGCAGCACGTGGCGGAAGTAGAAGTCCTGCCGCATCATCATTTTGGAGTTGGCCAGCGACCCGGCCTTGTGCACAAACGGATACTGCGTCTCGGTCTCGGGGTCGGACTTTAGGTACATGAGCCAGTTCGGGTCCTCCCGCTGGGTGATCAGCCCGGGGCAGGCAATGCGCAGCGCCAGCGGGAACGACGCGTTGACATCCTGGCCAGCATACATGAGCATGTCTTCGGGGCTAGCACCACCACGACTCTTGCCATGCTCCTGGTTGAGGAAGTTGGTAATGTCATACACCTTGCCGCGCAGGGCAACGTAGGCGTCATCGCGCTCGGTGTGGTCGCCGACCTCATCGAGGTTGTACACGAACTGCTTCGGACACATCAGCCACCCAAGCCCGATGATGAAGAACAGCACAAAGCACCACATGAAGAAGATGATCAAGCAGATGGCCACTTTCTCTCGCCACGCCATGCGGATGTCCTCGCGCTTCATGCCACAGCAGTTCATCAGCCAGTTAGGGATCATGAATGTCAGGCAGTTGGTCGTCCGCGACCAGCAGCGACGCGAGTTGGACGTGTCGATTTCCTCGACCAGGCCCTCGCGCTCGCCCTTGACGCCGCGGTTCTCGCTGTCTCCGTTGCCGTTGCCATCGCGGTCGCAGTGCTCGCCAAACTCGGTGTTGGTATCCCAGTCCCCCTTCTCATCGCCACCATACCCAGCACTCATCATGTCGTCGCTCTCGTTGCCATCGTCGTCGGCATAGAGGTCGCGCTCAGGCACGAAGCCGCGGCTCTCGGCCCCACCCTCACTGCCAAAGATCGAGCTGGCAGCATCATCGAAGGGGATGTGCGGCGGCGGCAGCTGGCCGTCGAGCGATTCAAACATCTCCGAGTCGGCAATGATCCCACCGCGGCGCCTAGCCTCATGGCGCTGCTTCTCGTACGCGCGCAGCTCCATGTCGATGCTGCGCCAGACACGCTCGGTCATAAAGATCTTCTGGTGGCCCGTCACATAGTGCACGCCGCTGACCCACTCGCGGGCACTGGCCACCTGCGGGACCAGCGTCGCCGCAGTTACCACTGCTGCCGGGTCAGACACAGCAATATTGATGATCGGGCTGTACTTGTCGATGAAGCGCTCAAACGTGAACGAGACGCTGAACTCGCTGGGGCCGCGGCGCTGCGCCATCTCGACGATTGCCATGGCCTTGACCTGTCGCTGGATAAAGCTATGGTCAATTACGCCCGGCTGGCTGGTAATGCTGGCTGGGTCCTCGGCGCGCACGTGCAGAACATGCCAAGCCTTGCAGTAGTCGGCAGCAGCAAAGATGTCCTCGAGCGCACTGCTGATCTCGCCAATAAAGGTGTTGGCAGGATCGGCGTTGTCCAGGGGCTCCAGCTCGACCGGGTCGCTGAGCGACGAGCCTAGCTGCGACGGCTTGCGCACCGACGGGTACGAGGCAGGACGCGTCGACAGGAAGGTGCCGACGATGGTCGACTCCTCCTCGGGGTGGAAGTCGAGCGCAATCTGTGTGATGCCAAACAGCTTGTGGGCGAACTTGCTGTGGCTCGCCTCCTTGAACAGCGTGTAAAAGTCGGGGCTGACTTCCAGGTCCATGTTGTGCTTGCAGAACCCGTCGACACTGTACGACATTGTGCCCATGAAGTGGCGGATGCCAAACAGCGGGGGGCTCTTCTCCCTCTTGTTGGGCGGCGGGCCCGGGACGTAGCAGGCGCTGCGGCCGTGGTTGCGGTTGAGGTTGTTGATCAGCTGGATGTCGTCGTGGGAGAACTCGTCGTCAGCAGCATGCTCCTCAATCGCGCCGACTATGCCCCCGCGGCGCCCAGTGTACTCGCCGCACAGCATACGCATGCAGTCCAGGCGGTGCACCCAAGGCACCGACAGCTGCCCCACCGAGTCATCGTGCAGCTCCTGCGAAATGCCGCAGTCGTCACCAAGCACCTCACGCAGCACGTAGCCCTGCAGGCGCTCGTTGGCCATGTTAAATGCAAACTGCTCAAACGAGCCTGCATTGGCTGCTTTGGTGCCGCTGGCTGCGCCTGGCTTGGTCAGCGCTAGACCCGAGAACCCATACATCTGCAGCACAGCAATGTGGTTGACGGCATCGGGGTCGCTCAGGTGCTGATTCACCGCATCGATGAGCCAGTAGTACACCAGGTGGTACAGCGTGCGGGCCAGCGCATCGCGCTGGTTGCGCGCTCCCAGGCTGTTCAGGAAGACAGTGCAGAGGTCGTTGTTGACCAGGGTAGTCTTGTACGTCAGTGCTGCGCTCAGAGCACCAGTGGAGATGCCCAGGAACTGCGCAGCAAAGTCGATCTCTTCCATGTTCTTGACAGTGGCCGCCTCCTCCGACTTGTCGCCAGCGTCGGCAAACTCGGCATTGCCCAGGTGCATGATAGCAGCAAGCACCTGGAAGATGCAGTTCTGCATGCGCGGCGTGATGCCGCAGGCACGCAGCGACATGCGCAGCTGGTCCATCATTGTCGCATAGTGCGTGGGCGGCGGCGGCGCAGCCTTGATCACGTGCTGGGCAACCAGCTTCTTCGACGCACGCTCGCAGCTCAGATACGTAAACCACGACTCATCACCGCTGTGGCGAAACTGCCACTTCTGGCGCTCAGCCGACGTTGCTCCGTGCAGCAGGTAGTAAAAGATGTTGAAGTTGCGCTCGCCTGCCAGACGCGTGCTGACTCGCCATCTGTCCAGTCCAAACGCAACCACCTTGTTGCCCGAAATCCGGCCGCGCTCGTTGAACTGGATCTCCTGCCACAGCCCGACTCGGGTCGAGTTGCGCGATTCGAGCGTCAAAGCGTTCGAGAATGCCTCGACGACGGCTGTCACATGGCTGAGCTGGTGCTGCGCGCGCGTGTTGTGCCGACCCGCATGCGACGCCAGGATGCAGAGTTGGTCGTTGATGAACTTGGCCGACTCGGACTTGCCGCTGCCGCTAGCGCCACTGAGGATGAACAGCTGGTCCTGCGTCAGCCGGCGCATGTGCGCGTAGGCATCGGAGACCAGCTCAAACACGTGCGGCTCAAGCGAATCCCGCGCTGCAAAGTTCAGTCCCTGGTAGCAGGCCTCGTTGTAGACTAGGCTTGCTTCTTCAGAGAACAGCTCGCCAGACATGGCCTGCTCCGACGGGCACGCGACCAGGATCGACGACGACAGGCGGTAGTATGGCACGGCATTGGCAAAACACGCTGCCACTGACATTGCCACCTTTTCGGGTGTCATTGCATCGCCCATTGCATGCTCGCTGCCAGCTGCAATGGACATTTGTGCAATGCTGGGCGGGCCAGTGTGTGCACGTGAAGCATTGGCTTGCCTCATGCGGTGAGCACCCAGGACGATGTCGTCGTCGGTGTCGTTGTCGCCAAGCGCGCGGCTGACTGTCACCCGCGATGGGCTGGCCTGGCTTGTCGATGGATTGCTCCGGTAACGCGGATCGCCTTGCTCTGCCTGCATGCCACGGCTGCCATCGTTTTCATCATAGTGGCTGCCCCAGCCTGCTGCGTCGTAGGCTCCACTACCAACCATGCTGCCTACGCCAGCCGGGTCGCCTGCTGCGTCCTTCTTTTTATCAAACAATCCCATGAAGTCTGGAACTGCACCTGATCCAAAGAAGTTCAATAATAGTAGTAGTAGTAAAGTTTATGCAACGATGAAGCACTATAAAACTAGCCTTCCCTTGTAGCTGCAAGTATTGGGCTCAGATAGATGGCTATGAGTATTTAATGTGAAGATGTTGTAGCTGATTATCCAGGGATGATGAGTATCAATGCCGATGATGATCGTGAAAAGCAGATGCCGAACAAACAACAGGTTTCTTTTTGTCCAAAAAGAAGGACGTGCTAAATGGTTTAAGTGTCGCGCCTGCCAAGGCTGTGAGGTAGACACTAACAAGTGCCAGATGTGCGCCGCACTTCCCCATGTTCTACCCAGGATACCCTGCACTACTCCATGTAGGTGTGGGGAGACATGTGGAGGGTGACGCTGACGATCTGGCGCCATCCCGCTATTTTGCGGGGTGGTATCGGTCGCGAGATGAGTAGGGCACCTGGTACTGCCATTTTATGGCTCTATGATGCAAAGACATGTTGCATGTATGATCCATCCCCATCTCTGTCTCCCCACAAAAGCATACATTTCGTGAAATGAGAGTGAAACTACCGGGCACATTTTGTGGCCCGGATGTGCTGTTGCGCGAAAACCACCATGCGGAAATAGCAGCAAGCTGGTTTCTCAAAACTCCTGGCCTGCATCTGGCCCCATAGCCACTGCGTACTTGTCAGGCGCAGCCACAGACAATGGATATGGCGTCCGCCACCGCAATTGCTGCTGGCGCTGCTGACCATCTGGGAATGAAGACAGGTGAGCACAATCGGGCATTATTCGCATGCCTTGGTGCGGCAGTAGGCTCGGCTGGCCCGCTATCTGACACCTGCACCCTCTATCTCTATATCATCCGGACAATGACGCAGCTACTGCCGAAGACGCGGCAGATGGTCCACGCTCGCCCCCTGGTTTTAGGCAATGCTGAAAGTTTCGCAACCGAGCTCATATTTGACGCGCTGCTCCCATCTCTTTCACCTTCCTGTTGCAACACATCCTGACTTTTCTCCTTCATCTCGACTCATTTTATTTCCTCTTTACACAGCATGATGACGACCGACTCGCGTACACTCGGGGTCACAAGGTACCAGTGTTTCTGCGCAATGATGGCCGCGCTGGGCAGCGTGAACTTTGGCTGGAACATTGGGGTTATCAACATTCCTGGTGATGTCATTGCCAACTGCGTCACTGGCGAAAAACACTATGACGGGCCCTTCCCCTCGTGCATCCCAACCGGCGGCACCGTGTGGGGCGTGGCCGTGGGCTGTTTCGCGCTAGGCGCGCTTGTCGGCACGGTTGCTGGCAATCCCATTTCTGACAAGTACGGCCGAAAGTTTGTTCTGACCTGGGGGCCTTTGCTGGCGTTGGGCGGAGCGCTGCTGCTGTCGCTGACGACGACACTGGCCCAATTCATCATTGGCCGCATTTTCGTCGGATTCGCCGCTGGTTTCTGCAACGGCGCTCTGTCGGTATATGTCGGCGAAATCACCACGCCTAGAGCGCGCAACATTCTTGGCGGAACTCTCCAGCTGGCCACCAACGTTGGAATTCTGCTGTCGCAGACAATCTCGCTCGGGCTTTCCAGACCCCCACTGTGGCGCATTCTGTTTGCAATTACCGGTGTTATTGGAGTTGTGACCACGCTACTGTTCCCGGTCTGTGTTGAGTCGCCCAAATGGCTGGTGGCCCAGGGCCGTGTCGAGGAGGCCCGGCATGCCCTGGCCCGGCTGCGCAGAGGCGCCGACATCGAGCTGGAGCTCCAGGAGATGCTCGACTTTGACGCCCAGACCAAGGCCCAGGCGGAAGAGGTGCCCAAGGCCAATGTGCTTGACCTTGTGCTTGGCCGCACGCCAGACAACCTGCGCCACCAATTCATTGTTGTCTGCATGATCATGATGTTCCAGCAAATGTCCGGCATTAACGCAGTCATCTTCTACTCGACGCAAATCTTCAACCGCACTACCAAGGATAATCCTGCAGACATTCCGACTACAGCACAGATCCTGACCTGCGTCATCTCGATCGTCGCTACCGTCTTCACCTTTGTCGGCATGCTTCTTGGCGCTCGCTTCGGCCGCCGCAGTTTGATGCTGGTGTCACATGGCTCAATGGCCTTGTTCTGCCTGCTGATATCCATCGGCTCTATCAAGGGCGTCGACGCTCTTGTCATCACCATGGTGTTCTTGTTCAACATCTTCTTCAACTTTGGTGTTGGCCCGCTGCCGTGGGCGGCGGCATCTGAGATGACTCCGGCCTACGCGATGACAGCCATGGCGGCTATTGGTGGTGCAGTCAACTACGCCTTTACCTTCGCCATTGGAGTGTTTTTCCCGCCAATGCAGGATGGCTTGGGCGACTACACATTCGTGTTCTTCATGGGCTTCAACATTGCCGCGTTTTTCTTCTGCTTGCTTTTCCTGCCCGAGACCAAGGGCCGCAGGGTAGAGGATGTTGTTGCCGAGCACTCGACCGGTTTCCACATTGTGCTGGGCAAACGCACTCGTGCATACGATGTGCTGTCTGAAGACAAGGTTACCCAAGTGGTTGCCAAGTCTAGCGAATTCGCGTAATATCATAGCCGTTCTATAGCATAAAAGGAGAATTTCTACATATCCCAGCGGACTTGCGCTCCGTAAGCGGCCACATTTTGCTCCGTCTGCAAACGCACATGCGGGTGTTGTAGCAGATATGTTGGATAGAAAATACTGAAATGGCAGACGCCGCAGACCAGGGTATTGAAGACAAGTTTTTACCAAACGTCCTCCACGTACCGACCAGCTGCGACCAGGTCAGCAAGATACTTGCTCGCATCGTCGGACGAGAGGTGGCCATGGGTCTGGAATACGTCAAGCATGGTGTTGACAACGTCCTTGGCTAGCTTGCTTGCAGAGCCGCACACGTAAACATGCGCCTTCTGACTGTCCAGCAGATCCCAGATCTTGGCACCATCGGCACAAATGTGGTGCTGCACATACTTGCGCTCACTACCAACACGCGAAAACGCAGGCTGTAGCTTGGCCAGTGTGCCGCTCTGCACATATTGCTCGAGCTCGTCCTTGTAGAGGTAATCGTACTCTGGGCTGCGGCAGCCAAAGTACAGTGTGGCATCGCCAGTACCTGCTTGCTTCATCTCCTGCAGGAAGCCGCGGAACGGCGCGACTCCAGTGCCGGCACCGACGAACAGGACTGGGACACCCGGTGGGGATGGCAGGTGGAAAGCTGCTTGGGCAGGACGATGAGAAACCGAAACACGGGAACCGGGCTCCAGCAATGCAAGGTACTCAGTTGCCAGGCCGCCATACAAGCGACCATTGACGATGTCATCGACGATTGCAACCGAAAGATGTACTTCGTTTCCAACTACGGGCTGGCAGCTGGCGATCGAGTAGCGACGAGGAGTCATGGCTGACACAAAGTGCAGAATCGACCCGAACGGAACCTGTCGCACAAGGGGGGCATAGCGGCGAAGCACATCCAGCACTGTGCGAGTCTGCGAAACGAACCCGCTCCAGCCAGGCGACTGCTTGCCCAGCGTGTTGACGTCGTCAGCGGCCTTGCGCAGGACATGGTATGCAGCATCGTCGCCAGCAACCTCACCCAGCGCAACAACCAGCTCACGCGAGGGCGCCTCCTTCCAGTCACACACGTACTGAAGTGCGTCAGACACCGAGCACGATGCCCCTTGCATGGCAGCGGCAGCTGAGCGACTGAACCGCGAGGAATCCGATGTCTGCTCCAGCTCAACAACTGATGCCAGGTCCACATCCAGGATTGCTGAGACCTCACGCACCACACCGGGCTTGTTGACTGGGTACACGTTGAGATGGTCGCCGGTCTGGTACTGAATGCCCGAGGACTGGTCCAGCACAATCTCGATGTGGCGAGTGCTACGGCCGCTCTTGCCGACATCCTGCAGCTCCTGGTTGGCTTTGATAGTGGCATTTTCTGAAGCGATTCTGAACGGAGCCGCGGCAGTGCTGTCAACCAAGGTAATATTGAACGGCAGCGACCTGGGCACAGCAACTGCTTCGGCATAGCCCTCGCTGCTGGACCCGTACTTGGCAGCAAGCATAGCACATGTACGCAATGACCACTGCATGTAGTCCTCCTCAAGATCCTCGTTGGAGTCGCCAAACTGGAACTCGCCCAGAGATGTGGCACCCAGCTCGCCGAGACGCGCAAAGACATAGCGGGGGAACTTTTGGAACGTGCGCCACATCGAGTTTCCCGTGCCAAACACCAGGTAGTCGACGCCATCCAGAACGTCAGTGCGAGTCTCTGTCTCAAGGAACTTGGCAAACTGGCCGGCATTGTCTGGTGGCACACCGTTGTATGTGCTGGTAATGACGATAACAAGCGGGCGCTTGGCATCACCCGACGGTGCAGCGGCGGCAACATCCCAATCGTCCAGAGTCGTCAATGTCACCTGAGGGAAGCCCATCTTTTGCAGCTGCTCAGTCATCTGCACTGCGTAATCCTCGCTGGCACCCATGTTGGATCCGAACGCGACAGTGACATTGGGCAAATCACCACCCGCGATTGCAGCAGCTGAAAGCTTGCCAACGTCCAGCGACGAAGCATCAAGACCGACTGCTAGCTCAGCCGACGTGTCGGTGCGGGGTTCGGGGTACTCGGTGCGCTGGGCGACAGTCATGAACAGGTCCAGCGGACGAGTAGTGATAGCACTGGGGTCGTAATCGATGGTCTTGTTGCCAACGGTGCTGAATTTGTACTTGCACAGCATTATGGCCAGCACAGCACGAAGCTCCATCAGCGCAAGCGACTGGCCAATGCAGGCCCGCTGGCCCGACGAGAACGGGATCCAAGCACCAGACGGGATGTCCTTGATATTCTGTTCGTTGAAACGGTCCGGATCGAACTTGTCTGCATCGCGATATATCCGGTGGTTTCTGTGGATACTCCACGCGTGCAGCCGAATGATGGTCCCAGCCTCGATTAGGTGCCCGCCCGGAAGGACACAGTCCTGCTCGCAGTACTTGTCGATGTTGTTGACAGGAGGGAAAAGACGCAGAGTCTCCTTGATTACCTGCGTCAGGTACTTTAGCCTGTTCAGCTGCTTTGCCTCGGGACGAACACCGGGCTTGATCCCAAGGTCAACAATCTCCTGCAGCACCGCGTCCTGGACTTTCGGGTGCTTGTCGAGCAAATACAGGCACCAGCCGAGCGTGTTGGCCGATGTTTCGCTTCCAGCGATGCCGAGTGTGATGACTTGATCGTAGATGTTGTCGTCGCTGAGACCAACCAGGTTGCCATTCTCATCTGGGGCGCGGGCATTGAGCATAAAGCCGAGCAGGTCCTTTTTCATGTTGGTCGCATCCAGCGACTTTCGGCGCTCCTCAATCACCTGGCGCACTGTGTCCCTTCATGCCCTGCATCTCAGCGTCGAAGCGGTAGTTGGAGGCAAGCGGCAGGTGCTTCCAGTATGCCGTGCGAGTTATGCGCGTCTTGACCTGGCCCAGACAGTAGTTCATGCCGATCAGGAATGGGCTCATAGGTGCATCCTTGCTCTCCAGCAACTTGAAATCGTAGCCGAAACCGACCATTCCGATGGTCTGGAAGGTAATGTTGGTTGCAAGCGTCATGACGTCAATAGGCTCGTTGGCTGCATACTGCGACACGAGATTGTTGGTGTCGAGCGCAACCTGCACCATCTCCTCGTTGTAAATCTTCATTGCGCTGACCGAGAACGCGGGCATAAGCAGTCGGTGTGCCAGCTGCCACTGGGGATCAGTCGACGAACTGGTAAACAAGCCGGTGCCGCCTACCTGGCGAACCTCGGAGAACGGGAACTGGACCTTCTTGTAGAAATACTCGCTGTCGTTGATCGCAAAGCTGACCACCGGCCGGATCGCGGGTGGCCACCACGTGTGTAGAGAAGACATAGAACTGGATCGTGTCATGGTCGCCGAACAGCGCAGATAGGCATTCGCGCGTGTCACGGATAATCATGGGCACGATCCCAACCACCGGGTAGCCCTTTATGTAGGGGATTGCGCGACGCACAGATGCGGTCTGCACATAGGTGGCCTTCAGATCAAGGAGCTGGCGCACATCGGTGACCTCGCTGCCCTCCTGGCTGCTGAGAAGCGTGATTCCATCGGCGTCGGCAATCTTGAGCTTTGCAGCAACAGACTGGCGCAGCTGCTTCATTGACGAATTGCTGCCGAACGATACGATGACGCCTTCCTCAACCGACTTGCCCTGCTCGACGACAACCACAAATGCCGTTACTTCTTCGGCCCTGTCCATGCATGGCCGGGCACACCATTGCGCCACTGTCCACAGCTGCATCTGGATATTCGGCTGTTGTCATATGCGATTCCGGATTGTTTGGAAATTACACCGATAGGAAGTGTATGTGAAAGAAAGCAAGGCTAGGTGGCAGACCCACTGCTGGCTAAGCGGCCGCGATGGGCGCCTTATAGAGAGATTCAACCGCGCTACCGCCGACGCTGGCCGTGCTCTCACATGTGCGCACAGCGAGGCTGAACTCCGTGGAATAGGATCACCGTGTGAGGTCAACAGGAAACCTGCCCGTTCCGTCGAAGCTTGGCTAATACTCTTCATTGACCAACCATCTGTCTGTGATCGACCCTGTGACTGAAATGGGCAATTTTTAAAAAAGGAAAATATCTCCAAACTCCAGCTTGCTGCTAGCGTTGAGTCTCAGGCACACACAGTAGAGATTTACTGCGACGGCTCCGCGCTAACACATATGTCTGTGCTATCCACAGTTCGGAGTAATGCGCGGCAAACGAAATTGAAATGGCCTGATACTGCCATGGCTTTAAGGCCCGGTTAGCTCTTCTCAAAGTATGCAAATTGCATCGCTCTTCCGGAGTTTTGTAGACGGAATTCGCCTGGAAATGCGCTGCCATTTTTGTCTCTCCCAGCACCTCGTCTCCGAAGTTGACGCGCACCTCCCATGCTGCACTTTCTAATTCTGGTTGCCGTTGCCGTGGTTGCAGTCTACTTTGCCAACCGATTCGCCGAAAGGTGGGTCAATTAGGCTGATTATGGCTGAAAATAGTGCAGTCGAATATGGATATGCCAAATCCGTTGGCAGCAGGGCAGGCTCGATGCGGCAGCTGCTCAACACATATTGCCCATCACTAGTGGACAAGCGTCTAGCGCGCATGGTTCCAACGCCGTTTCTCTACACGTGCATGATGCAGTCCTTGTACAGCCATTCTCTGTGCGCGTCGGCGTGACAGGTTCAGCAACATCAAGTACAATCGCGAGCTCTTTGTGTTGAGCGATGGCGGCACCGTGTCACTGGACTGGTACCCGGGGCCAGATTCATTCGGTGGCAGATCAACACCGATTGTTGTCGCCATGACGGGCATTGCAGGTGGCTCCAAAGAATACCATGTTCGCTGTGTTGCAAAGCGCGTCGCCTGTGACAGAGCCACGCCTTGTCGGTTTGTGTGCATGAACTTCCGTGGGTGCGCGCGCACCCTGCTCACTAACCGGCGACAGAACGACGCAGTGAATACCAGCGACTATCGTGAGGTTGTGAATTCGATCTGCGAGCGGTTCCCAGAAGCGCCGGTCTTTGGAGTTGGCTTCTCACTGGGTGCCAGCCTGCTCACAAAGTATCTTGGCGAGGAGGGCGACACATGCAAGCTCACTGCCGCCATCGCCATCAGCTGCCCGTTCGATCTGACGGTGGTCAGACGCATGTTCAACGCAAAAACCTATTCTCAATACCTACCTGTTCAAGCCACTCATCCGCCGGGCGCTGCTTCGCCAGTTTGAGAGAAACAAGGACGTCATTCTGTCAGGCGATCAAGGATTCGATGCAGACACCATCAGGAACTGCCAGTCCATGGCCGACGTCGAGCGCATATTCATCCTCAAGGACGCTGGGTTCAAAACCAGCGACGAGTACTATAATGCAGCCTGCAGTGCCAACTACATAGACCGCATCGGCGTTCCGTACCTCTCCATCAACAGTCTGGATGACCAGATCACGCCGGTTCAAGGCATTCCATTCGACAAGTTCAAGGCAAACCCCAACACAGTCCTGGCGCTGACAGAGCATGGCGGCCACCTCGGGTTCTTGACAGGGTGGCAGCCTCGGATCTGGTATCTGGACACGGTTGCGGAGTTTGTTGCCCTTGGTGCAGTAGCCGGCAGGAAAAGCGGTGTCTTGTGATTACGAATAGACATGCACGCTTCGCAGCAGAAAGCCCTGAGCGATGTCTTGGCAGTCATCCAGGTTGTCAAATCAAACGTGACCTGCTTGATTTTGCAGGCTCTCCCAACCATCGCCAACGACTACATAAGCAATGCCCGTCATGGTCTAGCAGATGTCACCTCTTCTTCTCCAGCCTTTGCACAGTTTTGATTTTGGCTCTCTAGAGATATCCATGACTATTGACACCATCACCGAGCACCCGCAGCCGTCGAGCACGCCCACATCTAGTCCAGGGGCATGAGCGCAGGTGGGAAGACGTCCATGTTCGAGGTCCGCAACTCTATCGTGGCCATTGAGATAGTCTTCCCTTTCGATTTCAGCCTTACCACTGCCGCCTGCAACTTTGCAACTGGCTTCGTTGTAGATTGCGACCTTGGGATTATTCTGTCGAACAGGCATGTCCTTGGAGTCCGGCCCTGGTATCCACAAGGCCACATTTGACACGAACGAATACGTCTACCTCCAGCCAGTCCATTACGACCCGATCCATGATTTTGCCTTCTTCCGCTATGACCCTGCAGCATTGAAGCACACCCAGCCGAAGGCAATAAGGCTGTTTCCCGACGGTGCTAGACCTGGTGTTCCATTCCAGCTCATTGGCAATGCAGCCGGGGAGAAGATGACGGTGTGCGCAGGCACACTATCCCAGGTCAACCGGAATCCGCCTATTCTAACTGACGGCTATGACGTAAACACCTTTTATTGCCAGGCATCAACCACTTCTACAGGTGGTGTCTCTGGCTCGCCGCTCTTGGACATCGGCGGCAATGCCATAGCGCTGAGTGCAGCAGTATCTCGGTACGAAAACTCTAGCTTCTTCTTGCCGCTTGAGCGAGTGGTGTATTCGCTCGGAGTATGTGAGGCGTGGCGAACGCACCCCCCGCGGGACTATCCAGACAGCGTTTCTATTCGAGTCGTACCAGGAGGCGCAGCGTCTGGGACTGCCAGAGCAGGAAATCGAAGAGTCTCGCCTGGCCAACCCCAAGTCGGAGGGCATGATAGTTGTTGACAAGGTTCTGCACAAGGGCCCTGCAGACGGGGCCTTGGAAGTCGGCGACATTGTCATTGACATGGACGGCAAGCCCATCTGCGATTTCGTTGGCTTGGAGTCGGTGCTGGATGCCAGCGTTGGCTGCACTGTTGAGTTTGTCGTCTGGCGCAAGGGCAAGCTGGTTCCTGTCACTGTTTGTGTGCAAGACATGTATGACGCCACACCTACCCGGCTACTCCACTTTGCACTGGCTACGCTTCATGACATGTCCCTTTCGCTGGCTCTAAGCCATTCGTCTGTGCTCACCGGGGTTTTTATTGCAGGAAGCACTACCATGTTCCTTGCCCACTGTCGATAAAAAGACATACCGTCTCATATTGTCAGTAAACGGGACTCCCACACCGAATCTCACGGCACTCTTGGATGCATTCCGTTCTGCTCCGGGTGGCCAACACGTGGTAATGAAGGTTGCTAATTATCAGAACACACTCGACTATGTTGTGGCTACGACGAGCCTGGCCGAGAACATGGGTCCTGTTAGACTGTTTACATGGAGCATGGAGAGCGGATTCTGGTCGGTGGAAGACGTCGAGATGCGATGCAAGGAGGCTGGCAGCAATGCTTCAGAGGCTGCGCTATTGCTACCAACAGCTGATGTTATCCCGCGTGCCCTGTCAAGCGCCCACGCCAATCTGCACAGTGTTTGGAGGAGCATAGTCCGTATTACCTCAGCAGCATGTCTCCCTGCTGATAACTGCAGTGGGGGAGCCGCGTCAGATACAGGGTTCGTGCTTGACAGGTTGGCTGGCATCGTCGTGTGCAGTGCCAGCGCATTCCACGGATCGGCAGCAAATGTGCTGATTACCATACGCAACACCCTTCAGGTGTCTGCAACGGTTGTCTATGTCCATCCGCTGTACCCATTGATCCTCCTCAAGTACGACCCTTCTGATCTCGGCCCCGCTGCAGATGCCCTGGTTTCCGATCTTCCAGTCGACACTAAGTACTGGTGCGGGGAAAGCCGCCTCACGGTTGGCCAGGAGATCACGGTTCTTGGCACCAATCCGTTTATGCAGCCCCAGGTCTTCTACAGTCGGATTGTTGACCGGTATCTCTACGAGGGCGATAAATCCTGCAAGGAACATGACGCTACCACGTATTTCAACTTTCGATATCATCGATGTTCTTTGCGCAAGCAACTGCGAAAACAGCTCCTCGGGTGCCATTTGCAATTCGGACGGCCATGTACTCGGCCTCTGGATCCAGCTACCGCTTTGCTACAAGGACCACCATCCGAAGGTATTCACTGGTGTTGATCTGGTTCATATCAGCAAGCTCGCTGAGAGGATGAGATCCAGCAGCGAGTATCCAGACATTGTACGGACGCTGAATGCCCGTCTTTCCAGGATCTCGCTGGCCGAAGCCAGAGGATACGGGCTTTCTGACAAATGGGTTGCGCGAATCCTGGCAGTTGCAGACTGCGAAAGCTCTGTGTTCCTGGTCAAGCAGCTGGACATTCCGGGTGCGGTGGAGGCGCCGGGCGTTGAAGTTGGCGACATAATCCTGAGTGTTGGCAACAATCTTGTTCGCCGGATCGATGATGTTGCCATTTCTGTACGAAAAGGGAAGCGTCCGACCTCACCGTCTTGCGGCAGGGCCAGGAGATAGCTGTCGCTGTCAGCACCACCCATCCTTGCGAGACCAATACTCGCCGCTACTTGTACTGGGCAGGGCTGTTCATTCAGGAGCCATATGTGTCTGCGTACCGCTCATCAGCCTCGATCCCGTCGACAGCTTTCACGTCGTTTTATAAATGCGGTTCGCCAGGCGAGAATGTGGCCGTTAGCAGTGGTGGTTTCATCACCGAGCTCAACAACGAGGCAGTTGAAACCATCGACGACCTTATCAGGATCATCCGCACGCTGACCGTGAGCAGCTCTGAATTCAACAAAGCCGTTGCAGCCGACAGGACTTGGCAGACGTGTCACTACGGTTCCTGGGTGTGATGTCAAGCTCAAACTGGTCGACATTAGAGGCCAGGTCTTTGTCCGCAAGTTCCGCACTGACGACCACTACATGCCTGGCTGGCATATGAAGCGCGGTGGTGGCATTGACGCCAAGTGGGTGCTAGAGAGCTTTTAGATATGCCGTTTGGCGTCTGTTTTTATTCTTACTTTCGCCTATTGTAGATGGCAAGACAGCATTTGGTCTCGTCTTCCACACATGCAGTTTGCACTCCAAAGATCTACATTTGTCGAAAATAGATCTGAGAGGGGTTGTCAATTTTTTTCCTAGCCTGGACAGTGACGTGTGGGCCACCCTGGGCATTTAAAAGCGATGTCAGTCTGTGGGAGAAGGAACGCCGGCAGTGAGAAGCCCGCATTCATGCCCTCTGCCACTTTTCAGCTCCTTGCTGCTCTGCTGCTATCCACTTTTCCAACATGCTCTTTTCTCCTCTAAAAGCGATGGCTTCAGCACTCGCCGTTCTCGGCGCTCTGTGTACCATGGCCAGTATGGTGCACGCCCAGTCGGCCATCACCATCGAGCAGCTCAATGCTGCAGTTCCGGGCCGCGCTAGCGCGACCTCCTGCAGAAACGCGACCAGCGAGTGCGCGACCAATTCGCAGGCACTTGAGGCGATTAACCACGCGCTGCTAAAGTACAGGATCTCTCGACGCAGCGAGGTCGTCGCTGTGCTTGCGCTTGAGGCATTCGAGTCGGCCAGCTGGCTGTACAACATCAACCACTTTCCAGACCCTGGACGTCCCGGCCAGGGCACACGCAGCATGTTGATGTACAACTTTATTGAGGAGTACGCCAAGTACCTGTATGCAGACAAGGCCCACGCGCTGCTGGAGTCGTCAGGGTCGAGTCCAGTCCAATGCCACCAAGAACGCGGTGCGCGAGCTGGTCCTCGGCGATGACGACAGCTTCGGCTCCGGCTTCTGGTTCCTGGCGCATGAGGCAAGCAGCTACTACAACAACCCGGACAAGCTGCGCGACGGCCAGTGGCAGGACTTTAAGGACTACATAGTCAATGGCGTGGGCGCGTCCTGGGACGATGCGCGCAATGTCACGTGGAATGCGGTCAACGACGCGGTCTTATCACTGATCGAAGTCGAGCCCATCTCGGCCGCTGCTGATGCCCTGTCAGCCTCAACTACAAATCGGGGCAGCAGCGCTGCAAGCGGCCCGCCTCGCTGGATCGGCGCGTCGTGGTCTGCCACTGCCTGCATCGCAGCTGCAGCACTTTTGCCTTCCTTCTCCTGAAACCAGCCAGTAGCAGACACCTGCTGATTTTTGGGGGGTCCAGGGAGGGGGTTTGTGAATAGAATGGCACCCTCAATGCTGCAAAATCATGTTTATACTCGGAACAGGCTGGCTATAAATAGGCGTATATAATCCAGGAATTCGAAAGTGCAGGCTAAATAGACAGCCTGCGCAAACAATGCAGCTAATGAAGCTGGAGGACAGCCGGTGCGGCTGGGAGCCTGGTGTGAAGCCGGCCATGGGTTTGGCAAACACGCCAGCCTTGGTGGCATTGTCGACACTTTCTCGGATCGGCGGCAAACAGCCATGCTGTTGGCTTCCGGGTCTGGGAGGCAATGGCATTGATTGCACCTGTGTGGACAGAATCCCTCTTGCCTCGCCTTGTCTCCGCCTTTGCTGAAAATCCACAAAACACCGGTGCAGCTCTTTGCGCTTGCAAGCCCAAAAACCGGTGCGCGAATCCGCCATTGGACCAGGCATCCCAGGTGCAGGAACAATACTCTTTTCCGACCAAAGAGCCAAAGGCTACGTTTATTTTTGAACCTATTCAGCGTTCGCAAAAAAAAAAAAAGACATCGCTCCCTGCAAGCGTGCGCATATAAAGACATGACCAGCTGCCGGACCGCATTGTCTCTCCTCCCTCCACTTCACCCCATCTCTCCAAAGCAGCATTGCACCCTTTTACTCTTCTAGATAGAGCAGGACTCTTTCTTCATCTCTTTCTAACGAAAATCGCTAGCAACCTTGACATAGCTTCGCACCCTCAGCAATGAAGTTTGTTTCTGCCATCGCGCTTCTCGGCCTCGTTGCCCAGGTCACTGTTGCTGGGCGCTGCCCTGTGCCACCTGCCTCCTCTGCTTCGTCGCAGTCCTCGGCCCCCGCATACAGCAGCACGCCCGCTTACTCTGCTTCTGCTCCCACCACTGACGCAGTCCCCACCAGTGCTCCGACTCCTGCGTACACCAGCGCTGCCGAGTCCACTGCAGCAGCCACGAGCAGTGCTGTGTCGGTCCCGCCCAGCAGCACCGGTAGCGATTACACCACGGCAGTGCCGTCGTCGGTGCCCAGCGGCGTCTTCCAGGTGAAGGCAGCCGATCTTGACCGTGCTGTTCCGGCTCGCGTTGGCGACGGAAACTGCTCTGCCCGGCCCACCGAGTGTGCGTCAAACGCGCGTGCACTTTCCGCTATCAACAAGGCGCTGCAGAAGTACAACATCACGCGTCGCAGCGAGGCCGTGGCCATTCTTTCGCTGATGGCCCAGGAGTCGGCTGACTGGATGTTCAATATCAACCACTATCCCGAGCCTGGACGCCCCGGCCAGGGCACGCGCAACATGATGTTCTACAACTTTGTCGAGGAGTACGCCAAGTCCCTGCATCCTGAGCAGGCCAACGCCCTGCTGGGAGCGGGCGGTGAGCCGTCTGATAGCACCAAGAACGCTGTGCGCGAGCTGGTCCTCAACGATGACGACAGCTTCGCCTCCGGCTTCTGGTTCCTGACACACAAGGCAAGCAGCTTCTACAACAACCCGGCCAAGCTTATTGAGGGCAGCGAGGCCAGCTTCGAGGACTACATTGTAAACGGTATTGGCACGTCGATGTCTGACACCCGCAGGCAGTACTGGAATGTGTTCAACAGCATCATCACGGCGTAAGGCAGGATAGTGGTCGCTATTTCATGCGCATGTTTAAGGCTTTGAAATATAATGGACGCATATATATATGGCATCTGCCATGGACGTTGTAGACAGGACACGCAATGCAAACGCCAAGCAGCAGGCAATAGGTGCCTGATCATCCGTGATCGATCACCGGTCCTTGATCTCCCGCCTGATATTTTTTCGCTGTGCCTGGTGCATTTTGATGAGCGAAATCGCAGTGCTGAAGATAAAGCCGGCTCCGACACCCCTTCTCTCCCCTCGCGGTGCACTCCAATTTGCTACTTTCCTTTACATTTCAAACACAACGCATTCGCAGCCTCCTTCTCTCCTGATCCTTGCCTCGTTTGTTTTTGCCCCAGGCGTATAAGCAGAAGACCCGGACGTGCCCTTAACCGCAGGAGACCCAGATAAATTCAGCCAATTATTTTGACCGGCTGATTCAGACTACTACCAGAAACCACCCCTCACTTACAAGGATGTTCTCCGCAACCTCGATTACACGCAGGCGGCTGGCGGCCTCGATCGGCCAGCACTTTTTGAGCAGCAACGGCGCCGCCACGATCAGCGGATCGGTGCGGTTCCTGGCCACAGCCAAGGGCGAGGGCAGCCGGCAGCCGGTGATGGCAGAGGCTGGATCAACGACGTTTGCGGCGCTGGAGGCTCGGTTGAACCTCAAGTTCAAGGACGCCGGGCTCATGGAGCAGGTGTGCACACACAAGTCGTTTGAGAACGGACGGCTGCCGTCCAACGAGCGGCTGGAGTGGATGGGCAAGCGGGTGCTGAACCTGTATGTGGCGAGTACCTGCACGTCAAGTACCCGAACCTGCCGACGGAGACGCTGCAGGACGTGCAGCACGCGAACTTTGGTCTGACGAGCCTGGCGGAGGTGGCCAAGCACTTTGGCATGAAGCCGGCGATGCGGTGGATGGCGTCAAGCAAGGAGGCGCCGAACGTGGGCCTGACCAAGGTGCTTGGCAAGGGCGTGCAGGCGCTGGTGGGCGCAATCTACCACGACCAGGGCGCAGCAGGCGGCCAAGCAGTTCATCCACAAGCACATCCTGAGCAAGCCGGTGGACGTCGAGAGCGTGATGCAGATCAAGTATCCGAAGCGCATGCTGATTGCGCTGACTAAGCGCAAGGGCATGGAGTTCCCTGTGGCGCGCATCCTGAAGGAGACTGGTCCGGTTCACGGCGTCGCCGGTGTTCATTGTGGGCATCTTCAGCGGCACGCGCATGGTGGGCAACGGCTTTGGCAGCTCGCTGCGCATGGCCGAGCACCGCGCGGCCAAGGACGCCCTGCTCAAGTACTACGCCAAGGAGATCAAGGACTTTGAGCTGCCCTCGGTGACCGAGGACGCCGATGCCGAGTCCAGCATCACCTTCCTGCCTACCAAGGTTGCCGACACGCCGGCCCACATCTAAGGCAGTGCAAGCGAGCGCGACTTTCAAAAACATAAAGACATTTACCAAGTATCGAACCGTTTTCCAATACACGACATGTGAAGCTCTGCTATGTGGCATGGTGCGGCGTTTTCGGTGTCTTGCTAAAAGCCACAGCACGAAAATTAACTGCTCTTTTGTCTCTCCTTTCTCTTTTCTTCTCTTTTCTTCTCTCATCACCCCGCGTTCCTATTTCCTTCAATTGCCCTTTTTATTTGCACTGCACCCTGGGTACACCGCCGAATCGAGCGACAAGGACGCGACAGGAGCATTACATTTTCTGCATTTCTGAGATGGGTACGATTGCTGTTGTCAGCGAGGTGAGCAGGCATGCAAAGATGACCCAGCGTTTTCCGTGTGGCTAATGCCTACCCTGCTCCACCAAGCTTGCTGTAGGCCAGTACTTTACAAAGCTGTTCAGCAACCTGTGGGGCGACAAGGAGGTCAGGATTCTGATTCTCGGACTCGACGGCGCCGGAAAGACGACGATTCTGTACCGGCTGCAGGTAAGGATACACATCAGCCGCCTCCGCACGCGGCGGTGGGCGGGCGCACGGCGTGATCTCTGGCAAAAACAGAATCGCTGGGCTCATTGCACAACGTGTCCCCCGTAGGTCGGAGAGGTCGTGTCGACAATCCCAACGATCGGGTTCAACGTGGAGACGGTGACATACAAGAACATCAAGTTCCAGGTGTGGGACCTGGGCGGACAGACCAGCATCCGGCCGTACTGGCGGTGCTACTACGCGAACACGGATGCCGTGATCTACGTGGTGGACAGCTGCGACCGTGACCGGATAGGCACATCACGTGACGAGCTAGCCTCGATGCTGCAGGAGGAGGAGCTCAAGGAGTCGGTGCTGCTGGTGTTTGCCAACAAGCAGGACATGAAGGGCGCCATGAGCGCAGCCGAGGTGTCGGAGGCCCTGGGGCTGCCGCGCCTCAAGAACCGCCAGTGGAGCATATACCGGACCAGCGCGCTGAAGGGCGAGGGTCTTGACGAGGGCTTGGACTGGCTGGTCAACGCGATCAAGGGCACTTGAAGCCTCTTGCCATTTTTAATCGCTTCTTGGAACCAGAAAAAAAACTTGTGCTTCCATTGAATCCTGTGCGAAAATGCGGCAATCTCCGCTGTCCGCTGCTCCTGGTTTGAGCCAGGTTCGCCCGATTTGGCTCTACGGATCAAGGGCGGGCAGCCTGAAATGAGTCAGACCAGTTCAGCCTGTATTTGGCTCTGTGCCTGGCCTGAGGGGCGGGTGCCCAATCCAGGAGCACCCCGGCGGGCCGGGTATTTGGTGGTGGGAGCAGCAGAACACAAGCAAACCGGTCTGCGCGCAGACGGGAGTATAGCGCCAGGGAAGAGCGAAAAGCGGGCGCGCTCGCACACACCAGCCCAGCCGGGGCCAGCAGCTGGTCCAACGCCATTGGGCAAGGCCCGTGCATTCCATGGGTAAAAGAAAAACCTGGGCGCAGATGAAAGGCCAGTCACGCTTTTTTATCCAGAGCAGCTGGCGGTTAACGGCTGCCATCAATTAGCAGCTCTTTCTCCCCTCTCCACCTGCACGTCAATTCGAGCGTTTTATTTTTTCTTCCTCTCTACACATTTCTGCGGCCACAAACCTCGCCGCTGCTCTTATCTCCCATATAACTAGGACGGAGGCCCACGCCAGCCACAGCCTTTATTGCTTACCAGCTGCCCCTGCGGTGCTTATTTCTTCTCTTTCCTGGACACAGCAGCGAAGCGCATATCCCTAGACAGGGCATATAGTCCGAGCGCACGTATTACTTCTCTTTTTCTCTTTTTAACCCTAGCGGTGTATCTTTTGGTGCGCCCACCCCTTTGTGCTCTACATAATCGCTCTCGGGGCACAGCAGTAACCACACATAGCACCACCAGCGCAAAGTCTGGCAATGATCAACAACAGCAGCGGCCGCTCAGTAACCGACGTGCTCTTCCCAGGCTCAGCAATGCTCTTTCCGTGCCCTCCAGCAGCGGTCCGAGCGTGCAGATTCATAGTCCGACGCCGTCGCTACCCACATCGGCAGCGTACGCGCATGCGGTCAGTCACCCTGCCATGATGTCGCCGGTCAACAGAGCTCATCAGCAGCAGCCGCCGCAGCAGCAGCAGCAGCCTGTGGACATGGGATACACATCACTGGCGCAAATCATGGACCAAGGTATGTTGTTTCACGTGTTGCTGCGACAAGAAAATAGTCGTGTGTCTGTGTCTTGTGTCATGGAGAAGAGAGGGGCAGGCAGCTTGGCGCCGGATCTGGCCTTTTGCCAGTGCCGCCGATGCGGGCCTCCTTTTCTGGCTTTTTGTCTGCATTGTCTGGTGGCAGACATCGCCATAGCACGTTGATGCCACGACAGGGACCGGCTTGGGGATGCCTGAAATGAAGTGGGGGTCCTGCCGGCATTGGCAGTGCATAAGCAACAACAAAGCCGGCCATGTGAATGGGGCAGGAGGCGCACGCAGCGTGTATTGCACATATTGCTACTTGTTCTGGATATCGGATCCTATGCCTCCAAAGCCAGTGTGCAGTGCAAATGTCTGGACTTTCGTCAACACTGACCACGAAGCAGCGCTGGTGGACTTTATGCCGTATTTGGCAATGCTGCGTTCCCCCTTCCCCGTGTAGTGCTAAAGTTTGGTCCGCTGGCAGACCAGATGCCTCGTCCGCCAGCCCAGGCGGGCGATACCCTGGCGCGTTCCACAATGGATTACACAGCAGTCACAGCAGGCGCACAGGCGCGGCGTAGCGGGCCACAGCACTGCCCGATCGACGAGAATCCCGCGTGTTCTCCTGATGCACTCATGCAGCTGTACAACCGCTCCGAGTCGCTCTTGCCCAACGGCAAGCGGACACGCAACATCCTGTGGCGGATGAGCACCCGGCGGGCTCTCAATCAGAAGCGCCAGCGCGCAAGACAGGCAATGGATCGCAAGAACAAGTCCTTGGCAGCGGCGAATATGGACATCGGCCATAGTCGCTCAGATCGGCGCGAAAGCAGCGTGGCCACGCTGGTCAACAATCCGATTGCTGCGGCGATGTACGGGACACAAGGCCCGCAGCTGGGGAATATGCAGCGGAGGGCATCGTCTCAGACCGTTGTTGCTGGCGAACAGCAGCAGCAGCCTATGCAGATGATGCAGCATAGCCAGAGTGCGTTCGCCGCGATTCACCAGCAGCAGCAGCAGCAGCTGATGCAGAACCACAGCGGGTCATTGTTGGACTTTGATTTGGATATGGAGCTGGCGAGGCCGCTGGAGCAGCTGTGGGGCGCAACGCCGTTCGATGCCTCGCTGTTTATGATGCCAGGTACACAGTCAGCAGCCATTCCTGGCCCTCAACAGCAGACACAGCAACAGCAGGCCCAGCAACAGACTTGGCCAACATCTGCTGGATTCCCAATGCCAAGCGCCCTTCTGGGCGGACCCGGGCTAGACGCAATTACCAGCACGATCTTTGACACGCGGTTCATCGATGCCCGCGCCTCAGCACTGGGTCAGAGCACACCGTCCGAGGCTGCGGCCCAGCCTGGCGACAGCAGCACCAGCAGTAGCGGGGGCCAGGAGACCGGGCTTCTGTCGAGTAACCCGCTGCAATCGCCTGTGCCGCTGCATTGGTCTGAGGAGCAGAGCGGCGGCTCGGACTTGGAGCAGCACCGGAGCCACAGGTTTGCCGAAGTGGGCATTGGGTCGTCGATGCACCAGCCACCACACATGGGGCTCAGTAGGTCCACGCCCAGCCATGGCTGCGGCCCAGCTAGCAGCCGCCCCGAGCCGGCGACGTTATCGCCAGCCGCCGCCGCCGCCGTCGTCGTCCGTGCAGAAGCAGGCTGAAGGTAAGTGTTGCTATGTGAGTGAGTGCGGATTGATCCGGAAGGGCTGTGACGATACGCAGCGCTGGTTATGCAAAGAGGAAAATGCGGAGAGGACGGGCCACTCCTGCATGGCGAAATTAGTACTTGCTTGTGACTTGGCCACATGTGGGCGGGCTTTCGGCCGTGGCCCCTCCCTATCATCCACCACCTGGCCTGCCGCCAGCAACATCACCGCCGCCGGCCATGCGTGCGGACATGATGTCTGGGACTGGTGTTTTATCTCTGGAAGGAGCAGAGATTATCGCACGAAAGCTATAGTTTGTTCGCACCCACCCCCAATCTTCCCCCGGGCGCATCCCCGAGCATGCCCGCCATTGCATTGCATGCGTTAGCCGGAGCAGCACAATCTCTGTCGCAACGACGCGCATCCAATGCCCGCCTGGGTCTGCGGGTGAGGGGACTGCTTTTCTGGTTTCATGTCCTGGCCAGCACAATGTGGTAGCCACCGAGTGACGGGGGTGATTCCGTCCTCCACTGGCATTGCACAAGCACATGGCCCCGTGTTTGTTTGGTTCTCCTGGGCTTTTTCATTCACCGCCCCGGGCTGCCGCGTACGTGGCGGCGCCGAACACCACGGGTCATCCACCAAAGGGGCGATGGGCCCGGGCGGAAGGCGTGCTGGCGCGGCGGGCTGCTCTGGCTGGCTTGTGCTGGCTTGTGATTACGCTCTACGGCAGTGCCTGAGGAGGGGATGGGCGCACAAACACAGAATGTGGTATGATGTGTCTGTGATCTACGATTGGCACTCCAGTTTTGTCGCTTTTTCCTTCTCTTTGCCTTGGTATCGGTTGCGGAGCTGCGTCCAATGGACACCGGGAGTCAGTGCGCTGTCTTTTTCTTCGTATTGCCGGACCCGGCCCACCATTGGCTCACCGGTCTGGCGTACCACGTATGGTTCGGAGCTTGTTTTGGATCTCTGCTTCTCTTGCCTCCTCGCACACAGCCGCGCTTGCACAGCCCGGGCACACAGAATTGCACAAGGTCCGTCGCCTTTGTGACGGCTTTCACAAGCCCCAAAAAGGGTGCGGTTCCAAGGAACTCGCGTTTTGCCCGGGGACGGCGCCGGCTGTGGCGAGTAAAAGTGCGCTTATATCCGGCGCCAGCAGCAGTGGGTCCAGGATAAAAGCCTCTGCTCCTTGCAGCTATCGAAAAATTTTGTTTCCCTCGATCGCAAAGCGCGCTTATAGGCGGGCGGGGTTCCAGAACCGGCCGTGGACCCCTCCCCACACAGCCCACCCACTGCCCGATTCACACAGTGAAAATATTCTCAGCGGCAAATTTTTCCACTCTTTGCAACCGCCCCTCCTGCCTTTCCCGACCGTTTTCTTTCGTGTGGCCAGTCCTTAAATGCCTGACTGGGCGGGGCGCGCCTGGCGCACCTCTTTCATTTTGCGTGTTTGCGTCGCCCGCATATTAAAAGTATCGCCCATTTTCCTCTTTCTTTTTGCCACCGCCCGTGCGCAGACTTGCGATTCTAGTATCCACATCCTCTCCCATCCTTCCCGCACCCGTCGTTTTCTCCAAAGACTCTTTCTGTTGATGTGGATGTGTGCTTTGCGGTGACAAGACAGAACAGACATACCAGCTCTTCTTCTCTTCTCCTCTCCTATTCAGTTATTTTGTTATTATTGCTCCGCACAGATCTCTCCTTTTGCAACACATACGGCTCCTGTTCTTGTACTTCTAAATTAACTCTAACTCCACTACTGCCGCTATTCAGACACCCCCCTGCGTACTTACATTATCCGAAACCCCCCATTTGCACAATGTTTCTAGGACTGCTCGCACAATCGTCGGCCGTGCACCAGCCAGCAGCAGACATCGCATATGCCCTGATCTCGTCGCTGCGCGAGTCGGCGCACGGCAAAGAGCCTGCAGAGGCAAGCGGACGTGATCCGCTGGGCGAGTCCGGACAACGAGCTTGACTTTGATGACGAGGACTCGGTTCCAGACCCCGAATCGTTCGTGGTGCAGTCGTCGGATCGGCCCGAGACGTTCTCGATGAGCGCGACCGAGACACTATTTGCGGATGCGTCGGTGTTTGCGCCGTCCAATGCGCTGTTTTTGCTGGACGAATACCAGCGGGATACGCGGCCATCGCTGGCAGCAGCGGTGGCGATTGCGTCGGCGATCAAGTCGCGGCCAATCTCGACAGCAGTGTCATCGGCCATGGTGTCGGGACGGACCTCGCCAGTGCAGGACGACAATGAGAGGGCAGCAAGCCAGTCACCATCAGGGTCAGCATCGCCGTCACAGGGCAGCAGCAGCCTTGGATGAGGAAAGCGAGGAGAGCAGCACCGAGGAGCCGGCAGAAAAGACTACATTATCACAAGCCGGCCCACCACAGCAGCAGCAGCAGCAGCAGAACCAGCAGCAGCAGCAGCAGGGCCAGCGCGCACACATCGAGTCTGATGACGACGAGCACAGCAACATATTCTTTGTGGACCCAAACCACATTGCGACGTCGAGCGGGATGTACTTTGACGACGGCGGATTCACAAGATTCCTGCGGATGCACGTCAAGCGGCAGCAGGAGCGCACGTCGCCGACAACGCGGCCAATTGACCCGGCAGGTCAGCATGCGGCGGCGGTCCAGCGCTGCTTCGGGCAGCAGCAACAGCAACGTGCAGAAGGAGCAGCAGGACATCGAGATGCCCTGATGCGTTTGCGCAGCAGCAGGCACAGCACCAACTGCAGCAGCACCAACTGCAGCAGCCAAGGGTCACAGCAAAGAACATCGACTCGGCTCAGGAGCACCAGCAGCACCAGCGGCGGCGGTCGTCGACAGCGAGCCGGCAGCAGGCACCGACGGCAGTCAGCGGCGGGCTGCTGCTGGACAGCGACCTGCTGGCGAGCCCCACGGGGTCACTCGGGTTCAGCGGCTCGGCGCTGGGGGCGCTGGGGGCAGGCACATCGGGGGCGCTGGGCAGCGGGTTCCCGTTTACCACAGCCACGGCAGTGCCCAACACCAACCCATTCATGCTGGCAGGCAACGGCCAGGCGCCAGCGCACGAGAGCGACCCGATCACAGCCGCGTTCTACAGCGCGTTCGGGCTCGGCTCGCAGCTGCCGGTGGCCTCGGCCATGGACTCGGCACTGGTCAAGGCCATTGAGGCACAGAGCTTCGTCAACCCGTCGTTTGCCGGGCTACAGGCAGCCGCAGCAGTGCCAGCAGATGCGACGCTGACGCGCGGCTGGCGCTCGATGGCCATGCCGGGCGACGATGTGCAGAGCGCAGCACGTGTGTCGGAGACGCATGACCTAAGCTCAATGCTGTCAGCCATCAGCAAGGACAAGAGCCAGAGCGCTGGCAGTAAGCAGCCCAGCACCGATGCGCTGCAGATGCTGTACTTTAGCCAGATGGCCACCACAGCAGCAGCAGCCACCAGCGAGGGCTCGGTTTCGATCCCAACCTCGGCGGCGCTGGCGGGGGTTTCCGGAGCGCAGTCGTCGCTCTATGGCGCCGACGTGCCTCGCACAATCGACCCGAGCGCCATCGACATGCCCGCGCAGCAACAGCAGCAGCAGCAGGCGGTGCTGAGCAACAACAAGCTGGCGTTCCAACCCATGGAGGTGGACCCGGCGACGGCGTCGTCAGAGGAGGGGATGAAAAAGCCAGCCAAGCGCAGCCGCGGGTCGGCGTCGGCAGCGGCAAGCGACTCGGGGCCGGCGGCAGTGCAGAACAAGCGCACCAAGGTGTCTGGCGGCGACAAGCAGGCAAAGAAGGAGGAGAAGCAGGCGAAAAGGGAAGTCAAGCGGCAGTCGCCGACTCCCAATGGCAAGCACGTGGCAGGGGCAGCAGCAGCAGGCGGCAGCAGCAATGCATCAGCCAGCAACTCGAACGGCCACCCGCTTGTGTGCTCCAACTGCTCAACCACAACCACGCCGCTGTGGCGACGCGATCCTGAGGGCAAGCCGCTGTGCAATGCGTGCGGGCTGTTCTACAAGCTGCATGGCGTTACCAGGCCGCTCAGCCTGAAGACCAACGTGATCAAGAAGCGCAACCGCAATGGCTCCAAGAAAAACAACAGCAGCAGCAGCAATGGCGACAAGCAGCAGCCGCCACCGCAGCAGCAGAATAGACTCCAGCAGCCAGCAGCCAGCCCCATGCAGCAGCAGCAGCAGCAGCAGCAGCAGCAGCAGCAGCAGCAGCAGCAGCAACAACAGATGCAGATGCAGCCCAGCGGCAGCCATGTCCCCAAGCAGCCGCAACAGCAGCACCAGCCGCAGCAGCAGCGCTATGCGCCCGGTAGCAGACCCCAGCAGCACAGCGGAATCCACCATCCGGTGACGCTGTCGCGGCCCAATGCTGCCCATGCGCCCACGATGCCTGTGGGTGGAGCTGCAGGGCCTCGCACGCACATGCAGCAGTCGATGACAATGCCAGCGAGCAGCAGCAACAGCCCGCTGCTCTCGCACCAGCAGCAGCAGCAGCAGCAGCGCCCGCATCCCGGCATGGCCCAGACAATGCGCAGCATGCCGCACCACCAGCCACCCTCCAACTAAGCCAGACCAGCTCCTGCTTCCTCTCATCGATCAGTGTCCGCTTCCTCCCTGCACATACATTCCACAACCCGCTCCTGTTTATTCTCTCGCTTTCATTTTTTGTTTGTTTTGTTAATTCAGCTGTCCTGCGTGTACTACAGAAACTAATCTCTGAAGGCTGCAAGCTCCGGCGCATTCCACGAGTAGAACTTGCCCGACAGCTCCTTGCCAGCGCCCAGAGCCAGGCGTGCGATGACATTGCCGGGGACCTCGGGCGCCAGCAGCTCACCGTTCGCGTGGTAGGTCAGGAACTTTGCGTGGACATCGCCCATGGCACTCCCGCCGTCGGTGCGGATCTCGCCCTGCATATCCGTGTCGACGACCCCCGGACGAAGCGCCACGGCGACGATCTCGGGCTCCTCGACCGCCAGCGACAACGTCAGCATGTTGACCGCTGCCTTGGACGCACAGTACGCAGACCACCCCCTGTAGGCGTTGACGGCAGCGCCCGAGCTGACATTGATGATGCGGCCATGGGCTGCGCGCAGACGCGGCAGGCACAGCTGCGTCAGCGCCAGCACGCTGAACAGATTGACGTCAAAGTTCCGCTGCCAATCCTTCAGCGACGCATCGCTGAGCTTCTCCAGCGGCGCCAGCACGCCCGCGTTGTTGATCAGCGCCAGCAGGGGCTGGCTGGGGAACTGCGCCAGCAAAGAGTCCAGCTGCGGGAGCTTGGAGTCGTCGGTTACGTCGAGCGCGAGCGGCACGAAATGCGGGCCCAGGGAGGCAGCCAGGGCTGCGAGATGGCTGGCGGACCGGGCAATGCCCACCACCGTTACGTTCTGGCTGACCAGAAACTCGCTGATGGCCTTGCCCATGCCGCGCGAGGCGCCGGTGACAATAACGATACCCTTGCTACTCATGGCTTTTTGCTAAGTGGTGGGGAGATAGGAGAGGGAGAGGGAGAAAACATAGTCTCTGTTTCAAAAAAAAAAAACCATGCCTATTCAGTCAGGCTTAACGATAGCGTTTGTTTTAGGATCAGGGAAGGCGAGGGCTTCAGTGCAGCGCCAGCATGTCGTCAGCGCGGATCGCACTCTTCGCCACATACACACGGGGAGCCATGGCTGTGGGGCGTGTGCTGCTGGCACTGCTGCTGACGCTGCTGATGCTGGCGCTGTCCGCCTGGCGCCTGGCCGACGGCCGCGGGATGCGCGTCGGGCTGGCATACAGCGCCTGCGCAAATGCGCTCTCCTGCACGACCTCGGGCGACTCGCCATCGGCGCGACTGAACGGGCGGCTCGGCGCGGCTCGCTCCGTGCGCGACCCCGGCCGGGCGTAGCTGCGCGGCGTCCGCGCGTACTGCCGGTGGCCGCGCTGTGGATCGCTGTCGGGCTCCTTTTGGCCGGGCCGCGGAATTCCACTCACCTCCGTCCTGTCCTGCTGCTCCTCCTCAGGCGCGCGCATCTCCGCAACCACCGCAACCACCACCCGCTCACTGACCGATAGACGCGCCAGATCACCGGAAATATCCGACACGCTTGATCTGCTGGTCAGCGCAGGCGACTGCCGCCCAGGACTCGCGTGAACCTCCGGCGTCAGGAGCCAGCGCCGCTCGGTCGTCGAGCACTGGCTTAGTGTCGACGCCCGCCGCACGAGCTGCCCGGACATTTCGCCCCAGACCGCTCGCTTTGGCTCGTCTACGTCGAATGCCCGGTGCTCGCCGCCCACGCCGCTGAACCGCCACGAGCCGTCGTCGTGGATCTCCAGCACGCGCGCCAGGGCGCCGCGCAGCGGCTGGTATGCGTGCGAGCCGGGCGCAGCCAGGATGATCAGGGTTACGTGGTGCTGTCCACTCACCTCCGCCAGCCTCCCCACTGCCTCCTCCCCCAGCACCCCCAGCGCCTGGTCCTCGACCACCGCAAACTTGGGCGCCAAATACAGCATCCGCGCAACCGCCAATGCCGTAAGCCCATGCGCCGACAGAACCCTCGCCCAGTCGCACGCGCGGCCCCAGTCGTGCTCGCACGCGTCAAGCAGCTCGCGGTCCAGCCCCAGCGATCGCAGCAAAAAAGTGCAGGTGCTGCTCGGTCACGTTGCGTGCCAGGGACTGCGCTTTGGCGTGCGGGAACACCAGCTGGTCCCAGAGCGCGCTGTGCGGCTTGATGTAGGGCGTTCTGGTCACACAGGCGATTTCCCCGGCCCCGCTGGGCACCCGCAAGACGCCCTGCTGTGCCTGGTCGGTGCCGACCAGAAGCCTGATCAAGTGCCGGTGGTGCGATGTGGGTGCAACTACCAGCGTGTGCTGACCGCGGTCGATGCGCAGCGTCAGCGGGTGCACCCCAGCCGGCTGCTTGACCGTGACGTGGTCGAAAACGATGCTGTCTGCCTGTGTCTCTGCTGAATCGCTGCCCTGCGTGCGCTCCATGCTGGATATACTGATCGTCTGCATGCCGGATGGCAAAACTGAGCTCCCTGTATCTGGCATGGATCCTGTTGATGCGTTTTGTTGCTCCTTGCTGGTAAGGAAGACGTTGAAAAGTGTATTAATGCAAAAAAGATGTTGATGAAAGGATGTTCTGTCGATGGATAAAATAGCTGCCGCCCTTTGCCTGCCGGGACAAAGGTGGCGCTCCCACTCTTCGTTTGTCCCTTTTACATGCATGTGGCTCTGCAATGATCTTGGGGGGGGACCTGGCTGGACAGGACTGCGATTCATCATGAGAAGCCGCCGGCAGAGTAGACAGGATACACGCTTTCTAGTTCCAAACACCCAGCATGCTGATCGACAAAGTAAACATTGCCTGTACATCGCCTCAACCATGTTCTGTTCATTTGTTTACCTCTTCTGCTTACCCTGTCGGTGCAGATTTACCTCCGGTCCACGCAGTTCCCCTCGTTAGTAGAGCAGCTTCTTGCCGTACATGTCTGCATAACCCCTACTGAACCTCTACCGCAGAATACCCATTGTTGCCACCTCCCTGCAGCCAGGCAAATTGCTAGAACCACTGGCAAAATAATACGCCCAGATGACAATATAACCTATTTGCCAAAGCTCCACCTTATGCCATATATGCTGACTTGACCCGGGCGCTGCTGTTTGTTGTGCCTTTTACAGCAGTCCATGTGATTCACACACACAAGAGAAGCAAACTGCCTGGCAATACTTCATATATTGGCCCGTCTATTGTGCTCCATTTTCTGCTGCTTCGAGGAACAATCGTGCATAAGAGAACAAGTGAATACGCGACGCTGCGCCCAAACCGAAATTCCAAATCCGGGCTGCAAAGCCAGCAGCCTATTTGTCGAACCAGCAAAAAGCCGTATAGAAGCCACACGGCTGCAGATCTAATCCACCAGCCAAATAAATTATCGCTGCTTGCCGCATGTCACATGAACATCAGCACTCGCATCTCCCCTGCCAATAGCAAGTGCATATGTCGCAGAGCTTACATGGGGCATTCGCGGTAGTGACCTCAGGAGCACAAAGGCTCCAGACTCGCACATTTGCAGCGGAATAAAGTCACATGCGTTCAGCATTCGCTGTGGCAAGAACTGGTTCGCACGGCATATTTTTCGCGCTATAAACACCACCATAAATTTTTTGCTCACTTGACTGGCCGCAGCTTTCTGGAGGATTGTCATAGATGTTCTGGCACGGATTCGCAGCCTTTCAGAAAGAGAGAAAAGCGAAGGCTCGCTTGCTTGGCCGCGGGGAGGAAAGGGGCAAGCAGAACAATGGCCATTGTTGCTAGTCATTCGCAATTGCCGGCAAGCTGCGTGTGCAGAATTCCAAAAATAAGTCCGCTCTGGAATCCGCAAATTTTATTTTCGTCATCGTTCATTGATTTCTTCACAATGTCCTCACCCCATTCTCGGCTTGCCCGACTGGCGGGATAGAACCTTGCTTATTCTTTTTGTGCCGCACTATTGTTGCGCAGCATGAGGTGTTCTCTCTTTGAATGCGCTAGCCCAATTGCCGATCTCTGGAAGCCCCCACCTGTGCATTGCTGCGTCTCCTCCCCTCCCTATGCGCTTGCTTTGGGAATCCGCAGGCGCAAGTGCAGTTAGGAAAGCTAATCCTGGGTGACAAAAGCCAGGCAGAATGCATATAAACCCCCAGTCGCCTCCTCCCATCTCTTGGCATAAACTAGAACTGCAGCAAAGCTCTTTCAATGATCACTCCTCACTAAAAAAATCGCCCCCGTTTTTCTATCCGCATTCTATCTTTCTTGTACATTACTCTAACCACATAAAATCATGGCGACGGATACTCAGGCTGCTGCTCTGCCCCGCGGCATCGAGTGCTTGGCGTGCACGCGCATGTTTGAGTGCTTGGAGGACGTGGTAGAGCATATTTCAAGCAACTCGTGTCCGCTCCAGCCCCAGCTGCCGGTGCAGGACAGCGACCATGTGGCGATGGATGCCCCGGGGTCGCCGACCAGCGATATGCAGATGGACTTTGACATCGATGCGATTGTGTCCAAGCTCAATTCGGACCAAGTAGACCTGTTCATCAGCCTGCTCGGCGACCAGCTGTGAGCATGGACCATCTTCTTCTCTGACTGCGGCCCCCCGCTCCAAATCTTTTAGAGTGGTGTGTGGTTTATGTATAGCGTTGCCCAATGTACCATCAACTATTTCCTTAGCTTACTTTATATGCACCCCTCTTTATCTTGCTTGCAACAAATAAAGATATTGATATTTCCAACTGTGCTTTGTTCAATGTTTATGTGCTCTGTACCAAGGATGCTATGTAGTTGTGTGGTGGGGAAATGTGAAATGGTGCTCGTATGTCAGACGCCAGAGGCAAACTGTACCTGTTTCTTGGCCCGCCTCATTGGGCCCGTCTGCTGGTATGAGTTCTGCTGGTATGAGTTCTGCTGGTATGAGTTCTGCTGCTGAGCATGCAGCGGCTGCTGCGTGATTGCTGGAGAGCTCTGCGCAAGCTGCTCCATCTGCTGCCATCTCTTGGCCTCATTTTTTTGTGTGGCAATAGTCGTCTCCATATACACCGTGCTGAGCAGTGACGGTGCGACCATGGCATGGCTGGTATTTCCAAGCCGTTCGTTGCCGGCATTGTGGTCAGACTGCATGCGCGGGGATGCGCTCTGGCGCCGTGGCCGCTGCCCCGGCCGGTACATGCTGGCGGTAGAGAAGAAGCCGGCTTCGGCAGCATCGTGCGCCAGAGCGCTGGGCGAAATGCTGATGGTGTCGCTGGGCTGCGGGGTTGGAACATGCGGCTGCATAGACAAGGTTGCTTGGGGCAGGCCTGTGGCGTGCGCTTCGGTTGACCAGCTCTGCCCGTGTGGCGCGGCATGGTGCTGGTTATGCGGCGGGCTCTGGTAGTAAGGGCTGTGGGGTCCTGGCTGCTGGGGCTGGCTGACGTAGCCGTGCGGCTGGCCAAATGCGGCAACCCCCTGGTCATGTGCTCCAACCCCAGGCACTGGCCCTGCGGCTGCTGATGTTGCGGTGGCCGCAGCAGCAATGCCCTGGTGGGCGCTGGGGGCCAGAACTGACCCCGTCACCGGCTGGTTCGGCCCGCTGGCGCTGAACCCCTGGTAGACAGCATCCGCAGATCCTGCCTGGTGCGCTCCCATGGCTGGCACCGACTGGTAGAGATTCGGGCGCGGCTTGGGCGGCCTCTGCACACTGCTGGAATTGTACAGACCGTACTTTGACTCCATGACCGGCGCACTGGCGCTCATCAGCTTTGGGCTAGGCTTGCTGGGCCGCTGTTTCTGCGGCTTCACCGGCTGCGGTCTGGGCATTTGCACACTGCCGCTGTATGTAGCTGCCGTCGACCCGCACGTCTCATACGACGTGTTGGGAGACGAGATCAGATGCGCGTTTGGGTTGTGCCCATGCTGATAGTCCTCGTACCGACCATGGTAGGTCTGCGAGTAGTCCGGATGCTGAATGTGCTGAGGTGGGCGGTACTTTGGTTTCTCGGAGAATGCCCCCTTGAGCACCATCGCGCCCATTGCTACCATGCTGGTACCCAAGCCCAGCATTGCGCTGTTGGCGTCCGAGAGATGCAGACGCCGCTCCAAGTCCCTGTCTGAGTCCTGCCCGGTGCACCCCCAGCCGCCGTCTTGTGTGCTGAGATCCCCCGCGTTGAAGGAGCTGGCCTGGGCTGAATCATATCCCTGCTCGGCATGCGCGTGCCCGCGGTATCCTGAATACGAGTTGTATCCGTATCCTTGGTTGGGATCCATTTTGCTTGGTAAAAAGAATGAATTATGAACCCAAATGGGGCTGAAAGGGGGAGCTGGAAAGGGGTGGCCGACTTTTGAGAAAAAAATGTATATGAAATATGGCGCGCGGGTTGGATTCCCAAAGTATAAGGGCCAAGTGAGCAATAGAGGGAATTTTTTTACTATACTTGTGCTGTGATGTGGAGGGTAGAAAGCGGTGCTGATGTATGCCTACTAATTAACACAAAGCCTTTTTTGTCGGACTTCAAATACAAAGATGAGGAAAGACGACGCCAGAGCGCGTGTTTTTGTGTTTGGTAGGCAATAGACGTAGAGTGTGGATAAGAGACAAACTAAATACAGATGGGTATATCTAGGCTTTTTTGCGTAGAGGCAGAATGGCCAAGAGGATTTTTTTTGGAAATAAGTGTCTGGCTAAAGAGGAATGGAAGTTGAAAAACAGAAAGGGAGCTGGGAGAGCGCAGGTCAATGGCCGCTATTTATTCAGTATCCGATATGTCCAGCATAACATCTACCTGCTGGAGTGGTTCTGGTCAAAAAAGTGGATGAAAAATTGACTGCAAAATGATTTCCTCTCCTATCTGGTGCAGAAGAGCTATGTCATCCTTATGCCTGGTGTAGCAGAGTTCAGGGGTAAGGGGGGTGGTGCCATGACCCCCGCCCTACCCTGCTGCCTGTCTATTTGGCCTGGTTTATCCTTAATGCTTTTATCTTTTTGGCCAGCACACCTATTTTTCTTTTTGTGACAGGCTGACACTTTGTTCCAGCGGCCACACCAACCCCCAGCCCTGGGTAGAGAGCAGCACTACGCACGGCAAGGTGCAGCTGAACAAAAACTGGCATCGTGGGGGTATCAGCAGGCAGCAGATATATGCTCAAGAGTGTGGAATGCTCGCTCCCTCCCCCAGTTATTGCAAGCACATCCGCAACCATTGCACGCCAGAACTTTTGGGCCACAAACCCACCCACACGCTTGAATTGTGAGTGGCATGTCAAAAAAGCAAAGTATGCGACATGCATGCACCACCCCATTGCAGCTGACACAACCATCCTCTACCGCTCTTGATTTCCTCCCCCTTTTTGCTCCTGCGTTCTGACGCATGGCGAGCATTGGCGTTGTGGATTAGAGCCGATCGATAAGCGTGTGCCGCTCTGTTGGTTAAAGAGCATAGGTTTTATCATGGTGCCCTTGCGAATGCGGACTTGGCCGCGATCCCAGCAGGCTATTTTGCAACCAGTGGAGCATGGGTATGGATCATCCGTGGCGTGGGATACGTCCTTGTAAGTGGCTGGGTAGGTGGCATTACATGTCAGCATTTCGTCTCTGTTCTCGGCTGGGCTGTGGTGGGGCGTGTTCTGCTTTTGCTGCAGCCACCACGGGTGTTTTTTGCAAACAGGCACAGATAGACTCTCCCCAAAAAAACTTAGTTTCCGGCGAGTGACCAGCCTTGCGTGGGTCAAGGATGTGTGACCGCATGTAAAAACCCACCTGTGCTAGCGTAATTTTCTTCACGGGCATTATTTCTGTCAGGCGTCTTGGCTCGTTTTTCTTGGCAGGTTAACCTCCTCGCTGATGTCCAAACGCTTTACTCCGAGTCATAGATCCACATCCGCAGTTCTGCTCTGGTGCATTCTGCTCTACATCCCTCCCCCAAAAAATGCTCTTGGTGGAGAGATTTCACGTAGCTGGAATTAAAGTTGAATTGACAAGCTATTTCACCCATCTTGCCCCGAGCCCTCGCTTCTTGCTGCAGCCGCTTGCGGAGTTGTGATAATCGGATACCTGCCTGCAAGAGAACCAGCCATTCGCCCTATTGCTCTGCCTGTTTGGACACCGATATCCGAATTGGCCTGACCCATGCCCACCGCTTGTCCTCAAGCATTCAAGCTGTACATCCACATGCGCCTCATGGCCGTTCACGAGTGCACAGAGATATTTATGGCCATATTGTCTTGCCCGTCCCTCCCCTTGCTCCTGCTGCTATGGTACACTTGGCACACTTGGCACACTGGCAGCACAATGCACGCATGAATCCCGCAAAGTACGCGAAGGCAAAGATATGTTGCACAGTACAATGGCATGTTCATCTACGCGGGCAAACCACACATGCGGACAAAATAGCACCTATAGGGAGCGAACATGTCAACAAACCCAACCATTGGTGCTGTTTTTTCTGTCGCTCAGTCCTTTTGCCATGCGTTTGAGAATGCGGCCTTGCCATGCCAGCGTTGCATCCATCCATTCATACTGGTCGGCACACACCTCCCTCCACGCGTTTCCGTCTTTTCCCTCTTTCGTCGCTGTATGTGATGGGTCTACTACATAACCGCATGTGCCTGTGCGACCACGTTTTGCACTGGAATACTACAACATTAAGCTGTGTGGTTGCCATTTTTGGCAGATGTTTTTGATCCATCGCGTGAAGCGATATGGATGAATCTATAGCGATCGCCACAATGATCGTCTTGATCCGCTCGTTCGTATGAGGCTGCAAAGCCCATGTCTGCAAAACGAGGTGCCCAGGGCACCCAGGCGTGCATAAGCAACAACGCTACGCGCTGGCATGGCGTACAAGGAAAACCAGCAAATTCAAAAATAGCACCGCCCTCGACACACACATTCTGGTTGTTCTCCACCTCCCTTGTCCTCACAAAAGATCTCAGGATTTTCATAGGGCTGGATATAGCCACACGGGTGTCTCGCAAATCCGGCGGCAGAGAACATTGCCATGGAACAGCAGCGTGACATAAATACATGCATTGTTCCAGCAGAACGAAGCAGGTTTTGTCCATGTGATGGCGCTGACAACCCCCATGACATGTCCAGAAAAGGCAATAGCAGAAGCTGATACATGGGCGGCACAGATATGTACAGATAGGCGACATGGATATATTGATCTGATCTGATCTGATCAAAGCAGTGGGGGCGAATTGGCGGACAGAAAGCGTGCAGACAAGCAAGGGGCGGCTCAGATGCGCGGTGACGCAAACAGCTGCTTGCTGGGCAGGAACTCCTTGTCCAGGTAAATGGCAATGTGCTCGAACCGGTCCGAGCCGAAGAAGAACTGGGGCTTCGATCCATCGCCCTTGGACACAAGAATCGTCGGCGCACCGAATCCCTTGAGCTGTTTGACCGCCTCAGTGTTCTGCACCACTGCCTCTAGCGTGTCCTCGCTCTTCAGAGCCTCATCAACAACACTCGGGTCAACCACGCCCTCGAGCGCCTGCTTGACCAGCTCGGGCGTGGCCGGCGCAACCAGCTGCACGTACTCCATATTCCACAGCCTGCGCATGGCCTCGGGCATCTTCTCCGGCTGCTGCGTCTTAATGAATTGCAGCGTGCGTAGCGCCGTCGTTGGTATCATACGGGTACTGCTTGGGGGTGCCGCGGAACGGGATCTTTGTGATCGCCGATGTCCGCTTCAGGTCAGTGAACAGGAACGGCAGCTTGTACGGGCTGAACTTGTTCTTAGCATTGGCCATCACCTGCATCAGGTTGAATGGCCGGTAGTCGACCTTGACGTCCCACAGCCTCTTGTACCGCTCCATGAACTCGAAACCAATGTAGCTGTACGATGACGCCGACTCAAAGTAGAAGATGATCTCCGGGACCGCCATGTGTGATGATAAAAAATACAAGGCGAATGTCTGCTGAGAGTAAAGAAATGCGGAGGTAGAAGGTGCTTCGTGGCTTGGGCTAGCTACTGTCATGCCAGTGTTTGCGATTAAATAGTTTTGGCACTGGCCAGTGCGGCGAACTATTAGGGCAGCGATTTGCGAGCGGCATAGGATAATCACATGTAGCGACTAGTAATAATGAGACCCCACGGCCACTCACGCGTGCGGGGGCAGGTGTAAATTCGGGCACGCTCCGAAATAAAAAGGGGCAGCGGCCGATAAGCCGGATCCGGCGGGCCACCGGTTGAGCTGTCCGGCCACTAGCCACTGGACTGGAGTTCTTACCGATATTCTGCGTGTGACGATATGCCTGAGCTGTGATTAAGCCGGGCTCGGCTGATCACCAATGAGTCCTGCACACCACCCACATGCGCGTATGTAAGCGCACCCACTCTCAGCCGTTTATTCAGCTTGATAATGCTGCACATTCCTATAACAGGTCTCTTGATCCGCTATATCATCTTTGCTGCTACGCTGTCGCATATCAAGATGTAGGGCTGAGCCGCCTAATAGTTTCCTTGCACCAGCAATATAATGTCGGCGCGGCTGCGTAGCATGCAAGAATATCCGGCCCGTTGCTCCCAAAAAGGTGTATCATACCTGCTGCTCCTGTGGCTATATAGGATATTAATGTTTCTCCCACCTATATTCAGATTTTAAAATGAATTCTGCTGCCTTTTTCCTGTTTGCTGCCTCGATCAGTGCAGCAACCATTGTGGATGTGCCCTCCCAACAGGAGTGTACCACACTCGGGAGCCTCTTCCACGGGAACGCACTGCAAGTGTGTGGCCGAGCACAATAGCCACTTCTTCAAGAGCGCCTGCAACTATTGCGTACTGCATCCCAGGCGGAAGCGCGGCATGTACGTCATGGACCTGCTCCTAAATCTGGTGATAGCCGAAATAAATATTTAGCAATACTTAATCCTCACTTCTTTTTACGAGGCATCCCTCCTTGTTGCGCAGTCTTGGCGTCATTGGATTCCCAAGCAGTAATATACCACATCTGTGATACATGCGTGGTTCTCTGCATGGCGTGCAAGCCATCCTCATCTCTCTTTGATAGTAGTTCTCTGCTCGTAAACGATGCTGAAGAGAATTATAACCACCCAGTATGTATGCACACCCAGCGTGGCTCTACCCTGCATCATGCCTTGTTTTTCTAATTCTGTTTGCATTCTGTGTATTATCTCGTACTATTAGCATTGAAAATGAATATTGCTGTCTTGCTCGCGCTTATAGTCACATCCAGAGCGAGTGGAACTACCACAACAACCCGCGGTATCGACGACACCCAGCCGACCTTGCAGCCAGCAGATGTCACAGCCCCAATCTGGTACAATCGCCAGCCAGCATTCACTACAGACGACCGCCAGCAGACAAACTACTTGCTATGCAAGATGGCACACAACGGGCGTGACCAGTGGGCAGAAACCACGGGCCCTGATGTCAGCCGGTTGCCACTCTTTGGCGGAGTCAAGCCGCCACAGAAAGTCTGCAGCCAGTGCTTCTGCCTACCCAACACTCAGCGCGTTGGATGTATTCAGACCTGACTGTGATGATGCTGCCGAGGTTTTGCGAAAGGCAATGGCGCCTAGACTTTCAAAGCGCTCGTCGCAGGACATGCCTGAGTCCAACAGCATGCGTGTTCGTGCTCCTGGCCTCTATGTCAACTATGAGGCATGTGTCAGAGCGAACCACAGCCGAGTGTTTTTGCGTGGGTGCAACCGCTGCGTGTGCAGGCAGGATGGCGTTGTAATGTGCACGAACAAAGTGTGCACGAGGAGCGTGCTTGCAGTAGATCCCAGTAGCAGGGGCCGCATTGCTTCCTGTGCTATCCCCACGAGATAAGAGGCTAGTAAAATGGATTCCTCTGGCGCACAACCCAACCCCCGAGACTTCTAACATGGGTAGCAAATTCCGTACCAACAACGTTCGCCTTTCAGGAGCCGTTGAAGGGAAAGTCTTCAGGCGGCCTGAAGCTCACATATGATACCTATGAGCAATGTCTGGATGCGCACGACGGATCCAGGACATTCTACGCTGATTGCAATCTGTGCATCTGCGGCTACGACGGTGAGGTTGCTTGCACTATGAAGAACTGTCCGCATCCACCCCCACTACCGCACATCTCAAGCAATATCCCTATATCAACAGAACAGCCTCGGACCCGTGATCCCCCGCCGCTGGTCCGCCGGTCAAACATCAGCCAGCACCAGTGTGGCCCCGACCTTCACGAGACCACTTTCTGCCAGCATCGATCCGATTACCACCCCGCCTGCCCCAACCCCCTGGGACTATGGCTCGTACAGCCTCTGCGTGAGTATAAATGGCGGCCCTAATTTTAAGCGCTTGTTCAGAACATGCTGGTGTCAGAGCAGTGGTAAGGTGGCCTGCAGACTTGCACTTTGCACTCGCCTGTTCCCGATCTCGCAGCTGACCACCCCGACCCCTACCTTCGAATTATATCCCAAGTTGACAATAAACGTATGCCGCCTCCGCATTTCCTTCCAAGTTACACACACTTGTATATGAAAATTCTTATCATGTGAATTTGCGCCCATAGCCGCAGGCCGACGCGACCGGCGGCGGCAATCAGCACTCACGACACTGTACCTCGAACACAATTTCTATAAAAAAGCACTATCTTGTTCTTTTCACTTAAGCAATCGCCTTCAGAGTGTACAACCACATGGCTGTGCCCCTGCTGTCATACCCGAGGTCCTCGCAGGAATCGGAGGGAGAAAAAACTCGTCTGATAGTGTGATCAGACCACCAGTTACCAGATGGGGTGACCTATTTTCTCTCCTTTTCCTAGCGGGCTTATCTCCATACTCGGCTTGGCCAGGGAGCCGAGGCGGGCCGCAGTCTCATGAAATATGGATTACTGGGTACGCTGCTAATACGGCGGAGATGCTACAAGCCAGGGCCAAGGAAGCTGCATAAAAGAAGTTGCTGCCACCAGGCAACATGGCAGAGTCAAGATTCAACCATCAATTTTCCACAAATCCATTACTGCTAGCACTTTAGGCATATCTGTAAGTTTGAAAGCACCTAGGGTTCAGGAGGGCCAATCCTAAGGATTTAAACTGGACCGACAATGGTAACTCAATTCCTTATTTCTTATTTCTAGATTGCACATTTCTGCCAATATGGACTCGAGACAACATGGGCGAGCGTCTGGCAATAAAGCCGATGCTCTATCACTCACACATAGTCCCCAACTCGATCCTATCCGCTCACCTACTGTGAGCGACCCTGGAGAGATCGTTTCGTCAAAGGTTTCGAGCGAAACAAACGATCCACCCGAAGCGCTAACCTCGTTTGGCGAACCATTGCACGTCAGCATCTCGCGTGCCACATCGCGTTTCCAGCAGATCCAACGCTCGTTAAGCAAGCCACGCGATGCTGGCGAAGAGGAAGCTAGCGTAGGTCCCGGCGGATTCGATCTGGCCAGGCTGGCTGAGTGGCTGCAAGGAGGTGCACAGCCCGCCGTTCTCCAAGCGCGTGGGGCTTGTGTTCAACGACCTCTCTGTCTATGGCGACAACACTTCCAACCGCCACATTGGCACAGTGATTACGCCGTTCTACAAGGTGGGCAGGAGCCTGTTTCGCGGGTTTGGCATTCGGTCATTGCTCGAGAAGTACCGTAACCCAAAGCAGATCCTGCACGGCATGTCCGGTGTTGTTGAGGATGGCGAAATGCTGCTTGTTCTTGGCCAGCCCGGCTCTGGCTGCTCAACACTGCTGCGTGTTCTGGGCGATCGTCGTGGCACCTACCGCAGGATTGAGGGCACTGTCTCATACGGCGGCCTGACACCCGAGGAGGTCGCCAAGCACTACCGTGGCGAGGTTGCTTATAGTCAGGAGGAGGACATGCATTTCCCCTCGCTGAGTGTGCGCAAGACATTGGAATTTGCCATCAAGTGCAAGACACCAAACAAGAACCTAGTCCATGACAGCGGTGCCTACCAGCGCGAGATGCTCCCAACGCTGCTCGAGATGTACGGCTTGTCTGCCTGTGCTGATACCATTGTCGGTAATGCGTTCCTGCGCGGTGTGAGCGGTGGCGAGCGCAAGCGTGTCAGTATTGCTGAGCAGGTTGCTACTGGTGCCTCTGTTGATATATGGGACGGTACCACGCGTGGTCTCGACTCGAGCTCAGCTCTGGATTATGTGCGCTCCCTGCGTATTTCAGCTGATGTTCTGCACAAGGCCACGGTGGCATCGCTGTACCAGGCATCAGAAAACATCTACGATCTGTTTGACAAGGTCATGGTCATTGAAGATGGTCACCAGCTCTACTTTGGCCCAGCCACCAAGGCTGTTGAGTACTTTGCCTCGATTGGTATCTACAAGCCACCTCGCCAGACGACATCGGACTTTTTGACTGGCGTCACACAGCTGCACGAGCGCACAGTTCTGCCAGGCTGGGAAGAGAGGGCGCCAAAGACAGTTGAGGAGTTCGAGGCTGCATGGAGGCAATCGCAGCAGTACCAGGATCTGAGGGACCAAGTGGCCAGCTTTGAGAAGCGGGTTGCCGCCGACAACCGCAGCGAGGAGATCCGCCAGTTCATTGACCAGACCAAAAATGGGCACGGAGAGAAGCAGGATTCGCCGTATGTCACCATATACGACGACTTTCATTTACCAGTTCAGCCTGCTGCTCGCGCGAGAGATCGATATGTTCATCCACAATGTGAGGCTGCTTGTGTTCAAGTTTATTTACAACGTGGCATTTGCCATCATCGTCGGCACTCTGTTCATCAATCTGCCCGACGATTCGAGTAGCGCGTTTACACGTGGTGGAGTAATTTTTTTTGCCCTGCTGTTCAACTCGTTCACAGGCAATGACCGAGGTTCCCAAGGCTATCAGTGGTCGAGAGGTGGTGTATAAGCATAAAGCCTTTGCCCTCTACCATCCGGCTGCACTGTCGCTTGCGCAAACGATCATGGATCTGCCGTTCATGCTGTTCCAAGTCATCGTGTTCTCGTCAATTCTGTATTTCACCGTTGGGCTCTACTCGAGCGCAGACAACTTCTTTTGCTTCATCCTCTACCTCTTCGTCTGTGCGATGTGTCTGACTGGGTTCTTCAGACTGGTTGGTAACATTTCGGCGTCGCTGGATGTGGCTCATACGATCGCAGGAATCTCGCTGCTGTTTCTGTGTCTCTATGCCGGCTATCTGATCCCGCCTCGCTCCATGAAGAGATACCTGTGGTGGGTGTACTGGATTAGCCCGCTTGCCTACAGCTTCAAGTCGCTTATGTGCAACGAGTTTAGGTCTCTGAGCCTCAAGTGCACTGGTATCCAGCTTGCACCCTCCGGACCCATGTTCACCAACCGCAACTACCAGGTGTGCACGATTCTTGGTGCGGTTCCAGGTGAGGACTACATCTCTGGTAAGGCGTATTTGGCCGCCTAACTTCCAGTTCTATGTCGAGGATCGTTGGAAGGACTTTGTAGCAGTGCTGTGCTTTTGGCTACTGTTCACATTCGCGATTGCTATTGTAATGGAGTTCATCGAGTTTGGTAACGCTGGCTACTCGATCAACGTTTACAAGCGCCGTTTGCCACAGGTCAGCACAGTCAACGACGAGGATACTGAGATGACAAAGGAGGCGATAGGGTTTGGCAGGGTCCCCAAGAGCGGTCCCGCTGACGATCAGATTCTAAAGGGCACTGTCCTTCACCTGGAAGCATGTCAGCTACACGGTTCCAGTCAAGGGTGGCGAGCGCCAGCTGCTAGATGGCATTTCTGGTTACGTCAAACCCGGAACCATGACTGCGCTGATGGGCTCTTCGGGTGCCGGTAAAACCACTCTTCTGGATTCATTGGCCATGCGCAAGACTATCGGCAAGCTCGAGGGAGAGGTTCTGATGAATGGCGCCCAGCAGTCTGCCAGTTTCCGTCGTATTACAGGCTATGCTGAGCAGCTTGACGTGCACAACCCACACTCGACTGTGCGCGAGGCTCTGCGTTTCTCTGCCTATCTGCGCCAGTCTGCTTCGGTACCTGACGAGCAAAAGAATGACGATGTCGAGCATGTCATCCGCCTGCTCGGCATGTCTGGTATTGCTGACTGCATGGTTGGTCTGCCTGATAGTGGTGAGGGCATCTCGCTCGAGCAACGCAAGCGCCTGACCATCGGTGTGGAGCTTGTGGCCAAGCCCAAGATTCTGTTCTTAGACGAGCCCACTTCAGGTCTCGATGCCCAGGCCTCGTTTACGATTGTTTCTTTCCTGCGTCGCCTGGCTGCCGAAGGCCAGACAATCCTCTGCACCATCCACCAGCCATCGTCGATGCTGTTCCAGCAGTTCGACCGGCTGCTTCTGCTCGCCCGCGGTGGTCAGACTGTTTATTTTGGCAACCTAGGCTATGACTCGCAAACGCTGACCGGCTACTTCGAAAAGAATGGGGCGGACAAATGCTCTGACTCCGCCAACCCTGCCGAGTATATCCTCGATGTTGTGGGCAACAGGTCGCTCAATATCGACTGGCCGCAGGTTTGGAATGACTCGAGCGAGAAGGTGCATGAGCTGAACGAGATCGACCGTATCAACGCACTGGAGCACGAGCACAGCAATGACCATGGCTCTGAGAACGACTCAAAGGATTATGCTCGATCGTTGGGATACCAAGGTGAAGATGGTCACCAAACGCATGCTCCTGTCATATTGGCGCAATCCATCGTACAATCTGACTCGTATCGCGCTGCAGGTTGTCTGTGCACTGGTGGTTGGCTTCTCGTTTATCAACCTGAGCGACAGTGCAGCCGATCTGCAGAACAAGGTGTTTGCAGTGTTCCTTACCTCGATTCTTGGTGTTCTCGTTATCAACCAGGTCCAGCCCGAGTACCTCCGCCAGCGGCTGACCTTTGGTCGCGAGTCGTCATCCAACCAATACAGCTGGAAGGCGTTTGCATTCGCAATCATCTTTACCGAATGGCCGTTTGCAATCGTTGCCAACACCGTCTTCTTCCTGTGCTTCTACTGGACCGTCGGCCTGAACTCAATCAGCAGCCGCATTGGGTGCTTCTACCTGTCGTACCAGCTCTACGGCATATTTTCGCTGACGCTGGGCCAGGCCATCGCCTCCTTCTCGCCGAATGACGTGGTTGTCAGTCTGTTCAACCCCATCTTTACTGTCCCTTCTGCCATGTTCTGCGGTGTGGCAATTCCCTTCTCGCAGTTCCCCAAGTTCTGGAAGTTCCTCTATTGGTTGTCGCCGTACCACTACTACATCGAGCTTGTCGTCGTCAACGATCTGCACGGCTCCCCAGTGCACTGCAAGCCCCACGAGCACCACATTTTTAATCCCCCGCCAAGGATGACCTGCCAGCAATACGCTGGCCTGTGGGTCAGCAAGGCCATTGGCTACATCAACAACCCGAATGCCACCTCCTCTTGTGAGTACTGCCAGTTCAAGGATGGCGACGACTTTTACAAGACGCTCAGCTGGTCCTTTGATCACCGCTGGAGGAACTGGGGCATTCTCGCCGGATATGCTATCTTCAACATTGCTTTTACTGTCTTGATGGTCCGCGTATACAAGGTCAACAAGCGCTGAACATAATATACATATTTTTCCATTCCATTATCAAGCTCACTTCAAAGCGCTTGTGACTATTGGTGATGGAAATTTTCTACTAACAGCATGCTCTCATTCGCTACCAGTCGCTATCGTCGCTATAATATTTATCCTGGCCCTGCATCCTCTCGAAAAAGAATTTCATAAAGTGTGACCGAGTGATGTACTTTTCAACTGTATCAAAATTGGTGCCAAGAACCATCATCGCTGTCTCACTCCTTGCGTCGCCAAGCACCCTAGACTCAATCAAGGTCATCCTACCCCTGGCCTGCCGCTTCTTGTGGACAACCATGTAGTCATCAACCTCGATGGCTATTTCAGGGCTAATGAATGTGGAGTAAAAACTTTTGCCAGCTATAACTATGTCGCAAGTGTCGGTTTCTGGGTCGACAAATGGCTCGATGATAATCTCTGCTACATGCCTACGCTTGACTATCGACCATTTTACTTCCGTATACTTCTTTCCACGACACAAGGTGAAGAATAGCGGATAGTCTGTATGATTTTCGATTCTAGAGGGCATTATGCGGGAAACAGAACGGACTAAGAGTGGGAAAGAAGGAGCTCACGAAAACTGACGTCCAGGAACAGCGCTTCTATTCAGCTCCACAATTCTAGCTGATTTGTGTAGATGACAGAATCACTCAGTGCGAACAATGATGCGGATTGCTAAAAATATGTTGGCTGGCTTGCTGGAGTCTGCGTTTAGGGATTGTGGTGATGCAGTGCATGCTTTTAGATACCGGACCTGTGCTCTGTAGTGATCTATAAGCTGCTTGTTTCTTGAGATTTTCCAGTCACTGATGAACCGAGGCAAAGAGGAAATATCCAGACATATGGTTCAATCCACACTTGATATATAGCAGCATATCGATACGATCCATATCGCGTTTTTATTTCAAAGATTCAGACAAGACCAGCTGTTGCAAATCCCTTAGTTGCACTTGACCTCAACTACGGTGCCCTTGTCATTGATACGCACAGTAAGGCGATCTGGACGGTAGTCCAGGGTGGTCATGTCACCAGGCCTGATAATGCGGTGGAGGGTGGGCTAGGTCCTGGACAAAGTATACGTTGTTGAAATCTCCGCGCCAGCCCTCACGATGCTCCTCGACGATGCGACGGCCTGCCAAACGCGGCTGCCACTGCTGGGGATTGCATGAGACAGTCACGCTGGGGTCATTGGGAGGGAGGCGCTCGGCAGCGAAGGCAGTGGCGAAGATGGCAGCGAAAGATTGAGGTACGCATGAGGAGGTAGTGGGCAGGATGGAGAATATGCTAGTTGAAAAGTACTTGTTGCTGTTCTTGTTGTTGCTGTGCAGCTGGTGTGGTTGGCATTATTCAAAGCCCATCTTATATGGCGGCGGATGAGGAGGGTTGTGCGCAGCAAAAAAAGGGGCCATATGTGTCTACGCAGTTTTGTCTGCGCAGCATTTGGGGAATGGTGATTTACTGCCACACGTGTACCAGCCGATCGAATTATTGCGTTCTCCACACATAATCCGGAGGAATAGCCAGAGAAAACGCAGGAAATGCAAGTACACCGCGATTACAAAGGCAGCCCAACGTTTGCCGGCTGTTTTTCACTGTATTTTTGGGACATGGAAAACGTTCGGTCAAAACGGTTGCAGGGCTGCCCATCCACGCAAGCCATGATCCGGCGGTATTTCGAGGGTGCTACTTTTAAAATATCTGGCTGGCCATTCCAAGTCTACTAGCTGGAGGCTGGTCCACATATGCCTATCATCGGTTTTAATCACGCATAATCGCCGATTAGCTGATTGCCAAATATCGGAGCAGAGATAATCAGCGCCAGATAGAGCCATATGTTTGACGAGCGCAATTCAAATTTCCCTCTACTGATGCGTGACCTTAGCCTTGAATTCTAGACGCGCATTGTTTCTTTGCTACGCCTTTTATTCCGTTCTCCCAATCGCGCATATTCTATTCTGTATATTGCACCTTGAGTAAGTGAGACCCAGCGACGACGGTCCTGCGATAGCAAAGCGGAATCAACAGCAACAGAGCACTGCATTGGGACTAATTCGGAAATCAACCTCCCCTTTTTTCAATTCTCCCTACTTGGTGAACAACGGGCTCAATTCACATAGGCAGTTACACGCAAAACACAAACCAAAGAAAACAGAAACTATGAGCAACAACACGACGACAGCCACACAGGACCTGCCGCCCAAGGGCGGATACTCGACTATCCACTACGAGCGGCGTCTGCCCAAGAAGGGCCCGAGCGGTCTGGCGATGTTCGCCATGTGTGGTGGTATCATGGCGTACGGCTGGTACAAGGTGTACAAGGGTCTGGACGAGCGCCGCGAGCTGGACCGCGAGAACGCGTGGTCGCGTATCCACCTGATTCCGATGCTGATTGCCGAGGCTGACCGCGACGAGTACCGCAGGAAGGCGGCGGCGGTAGAGCGCGAGCGCGAGATCATGAAGGACGTTCCTGGCTGGGAGGCCGGCAAGAGCGTGTACAACGGAAAGCGCTATGTACCGGATGTCATTGCCAATGTCCCGCTGCACCAGCAGCCAGGCTTCAAGAAGGACTAAGAATGATCCTTATTTTATCACACGCTTCCTTCTACCACTATATAAGTATCATTTCAAACTCCCGAGACATGTATCAGGCATTGTCGGCTAGTGTCAGCCGGATGGCGCTGGCAGCATTGCTCAAGGCGTCTTTCAAATCGGCATTTTCTGCTTGTAGCCGTTTTGTCAGCTCCTGCTCCGTTGCCAGTAGCTCCTTGTACCGTGCCTGTGCCTCGACGATCCCCTTGCTGCGATCCAACACCGTGGTTCGCAATGCACGCAACGCCTTTGCTAATGCTGCCTCGTAGTCGCGTGCCATTATCTGCTGCTCCTTGTGCGAGACAACCAGGAGCTGCACGTCTCTGCGCATCGCGCCGTTTTCCTTCTCCAGCTCCGCTATCCGCGCCGCCATTGCACCGATCTCATTGCCGCACATATCAGATTGTGTATCCCTGTCTTCGGTCTGCACACGCGCCGGCTGGATGTGCTCATAAATGTCGCTGCTTGGGGCCAGCGGTGGCGTGTGGAACACAGAATCTGCAAACGACGATGTGCTCAGCGGCGTGGTCTGGGACGGCGTGATGGGTGGTTGTGGCAGCAGGGCTTCGTCTGGCGTTTCATCCATGCCATGGTTTAATGACGAGTTTTCTGAACCATGAGTCTCAGCCTTTGCCACCTGGGCCTGCAGCGCGTTGAACTGCTCGGCAAGCTGCTCGGCTGCCTTTCTGTTGCTGCGGTTCAGGTCGCCAAGCTCGCTGAGGAGATTATAGACTGTGTTGAGCGCTGTCTCGCTATCGATATCGCCCTCCTCCTCGTTATCGTCTAAGTCACTGCTGCTGTTGGTATTGGTCGTGGTTTCTAGGGATGCTGGCGGCGGTGGTGATGGCTGCGACGGTGGTGAGCCAGGCGGCGGTGAGCCGCGATATGCTGGGGCGTTCTTGCGGGCTGACCGGCCAAGGGTGCTGTGCGAGGGGTCCATTATTACTAGTACTATGTGAATTATAAGAATATACGCGGCTAAGGGATAAAAATGGGAAAAAACGCGAGGGGTTAGAAAAGGCTGCTGAAGGAGTGAGGGCTAGGAAGCGTGGTCTGTCCAGTGTCCAGCTTGTGGCCAACCCTGCTGATTAGTTAATCTGAACCCATGCAGCTTATGCGGAAACATCGCCGTATCGTTGAAATACGGTCATTCTTCCCTCTGCATATTCACAGCCATTGTTTTATTTTTCTCTGCTTACCCAAATACGCCCTTCAAATGCCCACTACCACAGACATTCAGCCGGTCCTGCGCGTTGGCTCTCGCGACTCCAAGCTTGCGCTGGTGCAGACCGAGCACGTCATCGACCTGATAAAGGCGTCCCATGCTGGCGTGACCACCGAGCTCGAGACAATGAAGACGATCGGCGACAAGATCCTGGACGTGGCCATGAACAAGATCGGCGACAAGGGGCTGTTCACCAAGGAGCTGGAGCTGGCCCTGGATGCCAAGGCCATCGACGTGGTGGTCCACTCGCTGAAGGACATGCCGACAGCGCTGCCCGAGAACATGCAGCTGGTGGCAATTACCGAGCGCGAGGACCCGCGCGACGCGCTGATCATGAGCCAGAAGAACCGCGGCAAGGTTCTGAAGGACCTGGCGCCCGGCAGCGTCATCGGCACGGGCTCGGTTCGGCGCGTAGCACAGCTGCGGCGCCTGTACCCGCACCTGGAGTTCAAGGACGTGCGAGGCAACCTCAACACGCGGCTGGCGAAGCTCGATGCCGAGGACTCGCCGTACGAGGCCCTGATTCTGGCAGTGGCTGGCATCAAGCGGCTCGGATTCTCCGACCGCATTTCGCAGCCGCTCGACGAGCTGCTGCATGCAGTAGGCCAGGGCGCGCTGGGCATTGAGATCCGCGCTGACGACACGCAGACGCTGGAGTATGTGAAGTGTCTGAACCACAGGCCGACGCGGCTTGCGTGCTTGGCGGAGCGCGAGCTGATGCGGGCGCTGGAGGGCGGGTGCTCGGTGCCTATTGGCGTGCGCACGACGTGGAGCCAGGACAGACTGTTGCTTAAGGCCATTGTGGCATCGCCTGATGGCAAGAAGGCCGTTGAGGCGGAGCAGACTGCGAGTGTGCTGGGTGGATCTGACGAGGAAGAGGATGCGCGGGCTGTGAAGCTGGGCAGAGAGCTGTCGGTGGCCATGCGCGAGAAGGGCGCAGGCGAGATCCTCGACGCCATTGAGCACTAGCTAGAGGTTTCAAAAAATCTATATATGGTGGTTCCCACGTAAAACGTGTCTAATTTGACGGGCCAAACGAAAAGACCGGCCAGTCTGGATGCTTGTCGGCCATGCACCTGCACACAACATCCAGGGCCTTGCCCGGCTTCATCAGCTCGTCGACGCTGGCTCTCCATTCTCTGGCGCTGGCCAGGACACTGGATTCGTGCTTGGCAGCCATCGCCACCTTGCGCTTCTTTTGCTTGTCGCGCTTCGCCTTGGATTTGGACTTTGGGGCTGCTACAGCCGGCTGGGTCTCGTTTCCAGCAGGGGTCGGCGATAATGCAGCAATGTCGGCGTCAAGCATCTGGGCACGGAATGCCAGCGCGTCGTGGCCAGTGGTAGTGGCAGCCAACGAGTTCATGGCAGGATCCGCTGCCAACTTTGCCAGACTGAGAGTATTTGACAGCACAACAAAGTACAGCGACCTGTAGCTCTTCTCCCACAGCGCCAGCAGCCGCCCGTGCTCTCCGTTCTTGACAACCTGCTTCCGGCCGCTATCAAGAGAGTTCTTGGTGGCAGCGAGGATCTGGGCTGCGTGCGCAAACAGATCGCAGATCCGGTACCCGTCCAGCTGCTGCGTTGTGTTCTGCCACCCGTCGAATGTCAGGGGTGTGGGCGAGTTCAGCCGCTGGAACACACGGAAGCGCAGGGCATACCGGGCCAGATGGGCCTCTGGCGTCTCCTGCTGCTTGCATGCCGTCAGCGCCAGGATGTTGCGCCTCTGAGCCCATGGCGCCCTGAACACGCCGAGCCGCTCACACGCATGCGTCACGAGCCACATGGCCGTCGCCAAGTCCTTCTGCGCCATGACCAGCAGCTTCCACCTTGAAATCTGCGCCAGACACTCGGTGTCCGAAACCGGTCGCATCGTCCACAGCGCCGGCAGAGCAGGCGGTGCCTTTGGCTGAACAAGACCTACATTTTGGCCCTGTTTGGATGCCAGCATTGTCTCCATACGAGTCAGGTGGGCAAAATGCGCCTCAAATACCTGCGTTGCGTTGCAGAAGACCTGGCTGAACTCGTACTCCAAATACACATCCAGGCGCATCCCCGCCATGACACTGATCTCCATCATCAGCAGCTTCATGTGGTACGCCCATGAGCTGAACCAGAACGGGTTGTGCTTCGGATCGTCAGCTCCGCTTTGAGCCTGCGGGTTCAGCACTGTGAACAGCCAGATATCGAGCTGCTCAGCCTCGCCCTGCAGCGAGTCCCACCCGCCGAGGTATTTCAGAGCGATGCGACGTTGACGCGGGGCATTCTGGCACTGTGTCTTGACCCAGTCAATCACCATTCTCGCTGCCTCCTGAACAAACTCGCCTACTCGCTGTCGGGCGCCTACCAGATCATCTGCCTTCGGAATGGCCTTGCCTGGCGGCCCAACCAACTGTCCAGCACCAGCCTCAAGTATGTTCCAGATATACGGGCCGGTGCATTCGCGAATCGCTCTCTCAGTAAACGCAATAATCGGCTGGCGAAGCAGAATCCGGTTCTCGCACACAAACAGCGAAGCCACCAGCGACCGCACCAGTGGCGATGCTGTCGGAGTACGTTGCGCAAACTGCAGTGTCAGGTGTAGCAGCGACTCGACATTGTCGACATCCATGAGCTGCTGTACAAGTCCCAGCTCAGAGATCACTGAACTAAAGAAGGAATGCGACTCGGCCAAGGTTTTCAATGGCTTGGGCTTGATGGGCGCCATGGTCGGGTAGTTGCGCATGCACTTTTTGTCAAACACACCGGGCACCTCCACCGCAACCGACTGTGTGGTGCTGGCCTGCTGCATCGACGTGTGCAGAGACCGCAGCTCGGCCAATTCCTCGCCCGATTTCCTAAGCGCCGACGGGTCTTCTAGCAGGTAGTCGACCGAAGTGTGGATCAGAGTGCTGAGCCACGAGTCCCGCAATGCCAGATGGTCCTGTATCTGCTGAGCCGCCTTGCGCTCGTCTTCGTCGGCATTCACACCGCTGTCAGCAAGCCAGCCGTCCAGGAACGCGGTTGCCTTCCCCATGAGCGCAATGACGTCGGCGAGAGAGAACTCGTCAAAGAACTTTGACACGTACGACCCGAAATACACATCTTCTTCGCTGTACATGTTTTCTCTCATGTACTCTGCCCACACAAGCCGACAGCACCGCCCCAGCGCGATCAAGTACGGATACAGTACCAGGTCACGACACGGATTCTTTGTCTCCTCCTTGCCTGCCGTCTCAGGCATATCGTCCTGGCTAAAGTACCGGCACATATAGATGGTCTGTAGGAGCGACGCGCTGGCCTGCCACGTCATCTCGCACTGGAACATGGTCTCAATAATCCACAGCGTCTCGCGCATTGTCAGTACTCGCTCCATATCCCATTTGCCGATCTCTTCTTCGTCTTGCTCCGTCAGCATGCCCATGTCTAGTCGTGGGTCCATGACCTCTATCGATGTCATGGCGTCGAACAGCGTCAGAGTCTGCGGCCGGATCAGCTCGCCCCGGGCTAGTTCGGCCGTTGTGGATTGCATGAGCTGGGTTATATCGAGCCATTCTGTGCCGTACTCGTCGTGCACGATAGGTGGGCTCGATGAAGACAGCGAGAGCTGAGCCAAGTGCTCGGTCGCGGTAGCAGCGTCGTCTGTATTGGACATGTCCAGATTCCTCAAACTCTTTCCCCTGGCAACTGCTGAATCGGACAAGCAGAAATTCAATGAGGCGGATTCTCAAGACAAGGAAAAAGGAAAGAAAAGGCTTTTGGCTACACTGTGAGAATCGGCGCCATGGTCATGCAAAGCTGTCACGGGCATTGTGCCAGTGGTCTGTCCCAGTGGCAGGAAGCAAGACTGGGCCTGATTAAGCAACTCATCAGCGAATCACACAAAGTAGGCTTGTGCAGCGCGTTTCTCCTGTCCTCGACACCAGGTTCTCTTTGCTAGCATTGGTGCTATTGACGCACTGATACCACATATATCATGTACAAGACGGTAACAGCACAGTCCAGCATGCCAGAGACAGGTATAATTTTATGCTGAATGTATATTGACAATATCAGTGAGCATGTCGAGTGCTTATCACCGTGCTTATCATCTAAACGCAAAATAGCATTCCTATCCGCCTGCGGCTAACTAAAGTGCAGTGCTCCTACCTTGTAGATGGTCTACCAAGTGTCGTACCAGCTTGAAAGAGGAGTCGCCTGCTTTCGCATAACGGTATAAATGCACTTTTATTCGTTATCTCCCACTTAGTATGCATTAGGTTGTGGTGTGCACCTGCTATATGAAAGCACCAGCAGTCAAACAAGGCATCGTCTATCCACTCCATCCCAGATATATCTAGCATAGCATTGCTCCCCTCAAGTCGCTGGTCCAAACAGGAGTGGCCACAATACAAACTTTGCTGGGCCAAAGACACCAGTCTGGCTACAGCGCTAGCCCTGATTTAGATATTACCAGATCTAGATATTTACAGAAATAAAATCAGGTACTCAACCCAGAGAAAAAATTAGGTATAAATTTGTAGGATGGCATGGTCGGGCGGCGCCAGCTCTTTTTCTCTTCATTTCGCGTGCTCCTTAGATCTTGAATTGGTGCTTTGTTTTATTCTTGTGCGATGCAGCTCTTTGCCCGCCGGCCGGTCCTCATTTCGATGAGGAGCTGGTGGGTGTGGTGAGGAGGTTGTTTTCGTGCATGAGTTTAGAGGCACAGCAGCTTTCCTGGCTGTTTTATCGATTCAAATTGAGTCATTGGCGCGCTAGAGCAACAACCTGTCCTGCATGGGCATGCCGTCATGGCATTCCCGATTTCCCTAAGCTGACTGGAGCCTTCCGACAGGAATCGGTTCCAGACGGTAGCGTAAAACGCCCCTAGGTGAAGGGCGGACCCGGCTTCTGTGCTGGCGGCTGTAGTTTGCGTCTTGCCGACTGCAGTGTTGCTGGCATAGGGAAGTGGTTCTGGCCTTTGTATAAGGCCGGTGCGCGGGAGGCAGGATACAACTATTACTGTATTCATCACCTATGAAAGTTACGTGCGAAGCAAATAGTACAGATAGCACTGAACCTTGGTACCCAGAGAGCTCTTGGAGAGTTCAGTACGCTTGAAGCCGGTGTTGCAGCGACAGCCGATCTGCAGACCGGGCTGCTGGGAGAGAGTGACGGTGTGCGGGCCAACGAAGAATGTCTGTGTGGAGCTATGGTGCGTGTCATGGTAGGGGTTGCGGAGCTGCCACCGCCCAGCTACATGGGCTGGTGCAAAAGTGTGCGAAAAGGGCAAACTGATATTGTACAGGATTCCACATTTTAACCAAAACAGGCGGCATGGGTAGCGGCTGCTGGCATTTCTATAGAAAACAATCGCAGTTGCGAAAACACCATGCAAAATCTGGCCCGAGTTGTGCCTGCAGTTCAGCTCTTGATTTTTAAATTGCACAAGAGCAGGAGTAAAGTGCTACAGCCTTACTGACAATAGAGAGCTGCCCCCATTTAGTGAGCACGCTCTCCTCACCAGCTTGCGACAAGCTAGGAATTCAACCTGCTTCATCGGAATTGCGGTGTTGAAATGGTATCTTCACCTGTACCCAATCAATACGGTTAACTGGACATAACATGTTTGAAGGGTTAGGCAAAAGAGCTCATTGGTCAATAGTATTTGATACTTCATTGATGCGACACACATGCTGGCCATTAGTTCCAGCTCTCTTATGTTCCCTACATAAACTATCGGACAGTCAACCCGTGGTTTGCAGAATATTCAACTGTGATAGGCGATGTCTTGAGCCAAATAAACTGCATAGCTACGAAAACATTGTGAATACGCAGGTTATTTGCTATATCAGCTACCAAACGCAAGTACGCAAGATCAGCTGGCGCATTGCTAGCAGCCAGGCGGCTGTTTACTCAGAGACAGCAGCGCGCAATACCACGCAATTATGTCCCAACTCAATAGTGGTGATTACACTAGGCTTGGTAATAGCCCAGATTAAAGCAAAAGGACAGGTGATATATCAGTTTCAGTGTATCCAGGTATTTGCTATTGCCGACAGCCAGTATCAAGGGTATGGGAACAGGTATGATGTAGGCCGATTGTACCGAGTCGGTACTGAGCGAAAGAAGCATTTATAGAGGCTCTGATATTTTTTATTGCTGGGCAAAATGCGTAGGGGTAACGGCAGAAGAGTATATCAAACCTTCTTCCTTCTGTACTCCCATGTACTTGTAGTTTCCGTTCCCAGGCCGATACCAGTGCAGATATAAAGCCTGTCCGGGCTTTGCTTCTGAGCACAACCTCACCTTTTCTTCACTGAAGATACATCCGCTCCAACTTGGCTACGCACTGCCCAACAAAACCGACACATCAGAAACCCATTCACAAGCAACTTTGCCGACGGCTTAGTCACCGGCTGAAAACATTCTACTTCGGCCTGTATAGCCATGCAGCAGGACCGCGCAGACAGATGCCCAAGCCCCGAAGCGTTGTTTTCTGACCATGCTTTGATGGCTATAGCGGAACTGTCACCTGGCGCGAGCATGCCAAGCGCACTGTCTCAGCCTACTCTGGAGGAACCGCTACCGCTTCCGACGAATATCCTCATATCGGATATGGATTTTAGCCTTCGCTCACCGATCACCCCGATGCCCTTTGTGGAGGACAATGCGATGCCTTCCACATTCGCCGTATTCGATGGACTCGGATTTACGGGGGTAAGTGAGCAACACAGCGACAATCCCGAAGCCTCTGTGCTGCATTCCAGCTACACTGGCAGCCAGCCGCAGCCATCGGCCGTCAGCAAGCTTGAGAGTGCCAATCAGCCGTTGAATAGCAGCCCGCGCAAGCTGCGTCTGGCAGCCAAGTTGCACGGCAGCCGGAGCACTGGCGGGATCACCAAGAAAAGCGGAAAGAGACGAGGCAGCAAGTATGTGATTCCGGCGATCAACCAGGATGGGTCGCTCAAGTGCTGCAGCAACTGCGGGGCAGCCCAGACGCCGAGCTGGCGGCGGCACCCGGACACCGGTACGATGCTGTGCAATGCCTGCGGGTTATATCTGCGGCTGCATATGAAGCCGCGACCGCTTGCGTTCGACGAGCAGGGGCATCTGCAGGTCATCCGCAAGAACGCGGCGGTGAAACGTGAGCCGATCAATGTGGGAGCTGGGGCTAATATGATGGCAGAGATAAATGCGGACTTGCCGTTCCAGGCGCTGGCGCTGGTGCCGGCCCACAGTGACTTGGCGCCCAGCGATGAAGGCGCTGGCGAGCTCGATGAGACGGAGGCGGCGCTGGCGGGAGCAATCAGGCGTGCGTCCAAGTGAGCAGTGTTTTCTGCTTTGCCCAGCCCTTGGCATGACCGGCGGAGTTTTCGTTTTAGTGCTGTGGCTGTCAGTGCCCGCTTTGTGCATGCGGAGTAGGGGAGGGCCAAAGCGCATATTTCTTTGGCTGCTGGCGACGACCAGGCATTCTCCTCACTTTCCTCCAATTCAGTTATTTTCTAAACCTTAGCACCATGAATCTGTCGCATTTTTCGCTCCGCGTGGGCGACCGTGCAAAGGCGGAGCAGGAGCTGCTCGTGTCAATTCGCAAGGCGACGAATGTAGATGAGACGTCACCGAAGCGCAAGCATGTGAGAAAGATGATTATGTTCAGCTGGGATTTCAAGACGTCGGTGCCGGTGTGGGAGGGCCTGAAGGCGCAGCCGCTGCTGGCCGACGAGGTGCAGTGCTACAAGGCGCTTATTTCGCTGCACAAGATGATTCGTGAGGGCCACCAGGTGTGCATTCCTGAGGCGCTGACGCAGACGGCATTCCTGGAGACACTGGGGCAGCGTGCAGGCAACACCGGCGGGTATAGCGGGTGGCGTAACTACAGCGTGCTGATTCGCGCATACGTGAACTTTTTGCTGGCGAAGCTGGAGTACCACCGGCTGCACCCCGAGTTCAACGGCATGTTCGACTACGAAGAGTACGTGAGCCTGCGCGGCACCAACGACCCGAACGAGGGCTACGAGACGATCGCGGACCTGATGAGCCTGCAGGACCGGCTGGACGAGTTCCAAAAGCTGGTGTTCCGCAACTTCCAGCCCGGGTCCAATAACGAGTGCCGCATTGCATCACTGGTGCCGCTGGTGGAGGAATCGTATGGAATCTACAAGTTCGCCACGCGCATGCTTATTGCCATGCACCAGCGTGTGGACGGCGCCGAGGAGGCGCTGGAGCCGCTGCGCACGCGGTACAACGGCCAGCACTATGCGCTGCGCAAGTTCTACTACGAGTGCTCAAACCTGCGGTACCTGACGAGTCTGATCACGGTGCCGCGGCTGCCGCAGGACCCGCCCAACCTGTTTGGCGACGACTACATTCCGCCGCCACTGCCTGACCGCCCCGAGTCGGCACGGGATGTGTCCTCGCCGGTTGCTCCCTCGCCGCCGCCACCAGCTGAGCCGACCATCGACCTGGAGGCCGAGCGCCAGGCAGCAGAGGCGCTGCGGCTGAAGCAAGAGGAGGAGGAGCGGCAGCGGCAGCTTCTTCTGCAGCAGCAGATGGAGCAGCAGCGGCTGGAAGAGCAGCGCAAGTTTGAGCTCCTGCAGCAGCAGCAGCGGGAGCGCGAGCAGCAGCAGCTGGAGCAGCTGCAACGCGAGCAGCTGTCGCGGCAGGTGCAGGGCAAGATGCAGGAGTTTGAGCAGCAGATGCTGATGATGCGCGGTCAGCACGAGCGCGACCAGCTCACCATCGACCAGTACAACAAGCGGGTGGCAGCGCTGGAGGAGCAGATCCGGCAGCTGCAGCTGCTGCAGCTGCAGCAGGACCAGGGCAAGGACGAGCTGATCCGGCAGCTGCAGGCTCAGATCGAGCAGTGGAAGCAAAAATACGAGGCGCTGGCCAAGCTGTATGCCCAGCTGCGGCAGGAGCACCTGGAGCTACTGACCAAGTTCAAGGCCGTCAACCTCAAGGCCAACAGCGCCAACGAGGTCATGGCCAAGATGGACCGCCTGCAGGCCGACATGAAGCGCAAGAACCTGGAGCTGGCCGACATGATGCGCGAGCGCGACAAGGCGCGTGCCGACCTCCAGCGCATGGAGAACGGGCAGGTGGAGGAGCTGGAGCGGCTCCGGCGCGAGTTGGAGGACAGCGAGGACCGTGTGCGCGAGCTGAGCCGCAACAAGGGTGCCGAGGTGCAGCAGATGCTGGCCAAGTTCAATGCTGAGAAGGACGCGCTGCAGCGGCTGCTGGATGACAAGCTGCGCGAGGCAGATGGTGCGCGCAAGCGGTTCGACGACCTGCGAGCTGAGCACGAGCATCTGCGCCAGACCAAGGACGACGAGATCGCTGTGCTGCAGGCGGGCATGGACCAGAGCATCGTGGCCATGGCCAAGCTCAAGAACCAGGCCGACGGCAGCCAGGGCGACCTGCAGCGGCGGCTGGACGCGGTGATGGCCGAGCACGCACAGAAGCTGCGCCGCATCCTGGACTCGATCCTGCGGGCATGCGCAGACACGGCAGACGAGGCAGTGTTCAGCCTCAACGATCCGAGCAACGCCGGCAATATGACAGCGACAGTGGAGCACGTTCTGGCTACCATCGAGCAGGTCCACGACCTAGGCAATGCGCTGGCAGCGTCGTTTGCCGGGTACCTGGCCAACCCCGACGGCGACCAGACGCAGGTTATCTCGACGGCGGTGGGCTTGGCCAATGACGTCGAGCACCTGCTGGCCAACATCAAGGGTGTGTCGCGGCTGGCCAGTGGCGAGGACACCGTCGAGCGCATTGTCAAGGCTGCGCGCCAGACGGCGCTGGTCGCTCGCCAGTTCTTCATCAAGGGCCAGTCGCCCGCGATGGAGCGCCTGCTGGCTGCCGAGCGCCCTGGCGTGATCCTCGACACGAACCGCGAGCTGCAGCAAAGCCTGGGCACGCTGACGGCGCTGGCCGAGGGACTTGTGCCGCAGGACGCGTCGCGCGTGTCGGTGGCCACGACCAGCGAGGACGTGTCGGATCTGGTCGAGCGGGAAATGCTGAATGCCGCACGCGCCATTGACGAAGCTGTGGCGCGCCTGCAGGCACTGGCGAACCAGCCACGTGACTCGTCGCTGACCGACCACCAGGTGCAGGTGCATGACGCGATCCTGGACTCGTCCATGGCCATGACCAACGCGATCGCGCAGCTGATCCGCGCCGCAACCGCGTCGCAACAGGAGATCGTCGCGCAGGGCCGCGGCACGAGCTCAAAGGCAGCGTTCTACAAGAAGAACAACCGGTGGACTGAGGGTCTGATCTCGGCTGCCAAGGCTGTGGCCATGGCCACCAACATGCTGGTTGAGACCGCCGACGGCGTGATCAAGGGCACGCTGACCATCGAGCACCTGGTGGTGGCTGCGCGCGAGGTGTCGGCGGCCACTGTGCAGCTTGTGGCCGCATCGCGCGTCAAGTCGCAGCTGTACTCGAAGACCCAGGAGCGCCTGGAGCTGGCCGCCAAGGCGGTGACGGAAGCCTCGGCACACCTGGTGCGTGCCACCCAGCGTCTCAGCGAGAAGGAGCAGCAGAGCGCTCAGGAGGACTTTGACCAGATGTCGAACCTCGAGTTCAAGAGCAAGGAGATGGACCAGCAGGTCATGATCCTGAAGCTCGAGAAGGATCTGGTTGCTGCCAGGAGGAGGCTTGCCGAGATGCGCCGTCATGGCTACCATGCCGACGAAGAGGAGGAGAGCAATGTTTGAAATGGCACTCCCATCCCCTAGTTATATTTCCAATCTTTGACACTGCCAAGAACACATATCATCAGCCTACTACATACACTCTTATTTGGTGGGTGTTTCTGTAATGTGGGCTATTGTCAGTGAGGCCACGACCGCTGATCGCCCTGGCGGCAGTGTGTCATGTGGAACACTTTATCCGTGCAGTTGCTAAAATACGATGTACAGTTCCGATAGTCGTAGTCGGTTGCATCCTGGCTCATCTGATGCATTCTTTCGGTCGTCTTTGGTGCTGGGGTGGTTCCGATGCCTAATCAGCAAGTCCATTTTGGCGATTTTTGCACTCGCACATATTCATGGTGTTGAGTTATGATTACTTTCCACAAACACGCAGTTATGATGAAATAGCGTCAAGCCTTGCCACCACCTGTCTCACATCACACAACTCCCTTTCCAGATATATGGCAGCAGCGGCCATTACTCTCAACAGTCATATTTTTCGCTGTGACGAATGCGCATGAGCAAGGGCTGTCTAGTCCTACTTTCAATCCGATATCATCAGTCGCCGTTCAGGCACGTATCTCAGCAGCATATTCATGGCATTTTTTCAACTCCTGAATATATTTTTCAATATAATAAAAGGCGCTAGAGCTGAAATAATGGTGGACAGGTGCAGCACATATATGTGGCAGTACAATGGCATGGGACTGCCTTATCCAGTGCCGACGGCGACACAGCCGCAGATGCCATCCACGCACGACCAGTAGAACCGAGGAGGGCATCTGGCCCTGGGCGCAAGATCGGCCGAGGCGACAGCAGCAGAGACGAGAAGAAGGACGACGGTCTTGAGATACATTTGGCTATGTGGGGAACTCGAAGGAATTCTTGACGATACAATTGTTTGTTGTCTGTGAAGCACGCGTGCCCTTTTATATCCTGCGAAGCAGCAAACAAGTGCTCTCATACTGAAGCAAAGCAATTTTGCCAAACGCTCATGGGAAGGTCTCGAATTTGGCAGTCCCTTCTGGTCTCGGTGTATCGTGAGAATGTCCGAGGTTTGGATTTGCTCTAGGTACAATTTACAGGAAGAGATGTAAATGTATTGCCGGCGTCGATAGGTGAATCTAACAATAGATGTCTTGGCCGCATATACCCGGCCCCATTTGTTTTCTATCGGACACATGTCTCTGAATTCCGTTGCCTTGAGAACGAAAATCAATTTGTGGACGGTCCCCCGTTCCGAGGCTCCTCCCTTTTAACGGACTTCATGTAGTAGAGTAGTTGGTGTATCGGCAATCTCAACATTGACCAAAATGTGTACAATAATCATTTTGCGATGCATCGGCGATGGGTTCACGATTTATTAAGAGCTGTGGTTCCAAATCCTTATGATCTTAGGAACCCATGGATCAAGACCTTTAGGCCACAATGGCCGGCCATACTATTCTGGGCGACCGGCGCCACTACTTAGACGGGCACCTGCCCTTTCACCTGGTGATTCCTCCTTCCTTCTTTCATACAGCATATTTCATACGTTCAATATACGTCGTGGAAAGGTGCTCGAAAAGTAAACGTGTTCTAGACAGTTGCAGGAGGCTGTCTATCCAAGTGTATCGTACCCGAGACACAACATATTTTTTCACCTTCCCCCTACTTACCGAGTACCGGAGGAAGCATACTGCTTATTTTATTTTATTTTTTCTCTTTATTTTGCTTTTGGCATTTTCCCTTTGCTATTCCTATGACTGATCACCCAAACACCAGTCACAAGCAACGTGGCCAGGCTAGCCACCACCGCTTGCGCCCAACAGCAACTGTCCCTGAAGCCCAAGTACCGGACACTGAGGAGCTCGAATCATTCATTTTCCCACTCAACGATGAGGTACCTGCGGCTGAGAAGGTCCATAAGATGAATTTGGCTTTAGGCCAGATGGCTGGAGACATGCAGCGTACGGCAGATAGGGTTGATGAACACTCTCGAGCATTGACCAACTGGCGCCGTAAGACTGGCGAGGACCTCGACGACCTTGAAAACAGCATTAAGAAACTCGCGACGACATCAAGGGAGCACATGATGGCCCTAGAAGAGCAGACTGGTATGAACACCACTGAGATTCAGGCGCTGAATGTCGAGTCTGCTAAGACCACTGCGAATATTGCACAGCTTACTCACCGCATCAGCGATATGCAGCAGATGCTAGCAACAAACTCTAGCCAGATATCGCAGCTAGTGACTCAAGTGTCATTGCTTGTGGAGCGTACGGCAAGAGCGGAGAGCGAGGTAGGCCATGTCAGGGATACCATGGATGGAGCGATACGAGTAGTGACCGACGCCACCCACCAGCAAATTACGGAGGCACTGGATGACTTTCGCAGAGATGCTAAGCCCAATGAGGTCGACAATAACACTAAGCCTCCGGACATTACAGAGACCCGTACGCACATTGTGGATGAAACTGCCCCTACCCCACCCAGTCCACTAGCGGCAGCACGCCCAGCAACCTACCGCAACGGCAACCGAGGACAGTCCGATGATGTCCGTAACTACAAGCACGATGCTGCTGACAATCAAGCTGCAAGCAATGTACGTGGCACTCCCTCCCGCAACAACCAGCGTGACCGCCAAGTCAACTACCAAGATTACCATCGTGGGGCCCATCGTCTGCACTTTGTGCACTATGCATCCCCAGACCGTATGAACTCGGGTGGTGTTGAGGGATTTTCAGGACAAGCTGGGAACAAACCGGATACATGGTACACCCCAGCCCAGGCCCCGCCTTTTCACCCGAGCCAGCCAACCCACTTTAGTGATGGTGTGATTATGGATGACAGATCCAATCCATTTTCGAGCCCGCTACCCACTGGTCAGCACAAGTCCCCACTCCGGGCAACAGGTGCACTCCTTGGTGGTTTTGCAGTTGGTGACCTGAACCAGGTCCTCCCATTCGATCCTGATGCGAACCGTCGCAAATTGCCTGATAAGTTGCCATCAATGAAACCTACTGATAGGAACTTTGTGAGCGACCCCATTGACTACCTAACGGAAATCGAGACAATCCTGCTCAGTAATAACTACCCGCTACAGTTCTGGGGCGCACGTGCCATTCTGGTTGGCCTGAAACCCACGACACAGCGCAGGTTCCTCGATGCCTTACGGACTAACCCGGCACGCTCATGGGATGATACTAAACTGCGACTGCTAGAGACATCCCCGACAATGCTGACACCCACATATGCACAGGAGGTCATCAGACAGCTACGATTGGACATTTACCAGCCATTCGCTGATTTCATTGATGAATTTGAGAAACTGCGCCTGACAGCATTATACCGTGCTTCGCAACCAGGCACCATTCAGCTCTTCTTGGAGGCCCTACCATTGCAGCTACGTGGACTAACACTCAACTTTATGAATGCCCGACCCGCTGATGCCCAGGACCTCTCACAGATCTACAAGTTTGTCATGGAGTCCGAGACCGACTTTGCTCTTATGCTTGGACATGGACGCGCTGGCCAGGAATGGAAGCAGCGTCACACATACCAGTCCACGTATATGACCCAGTACAAACAAAACCAAGGTCGGATTGGCCAGCATATGCCGACCCCAGAACAGAGTGCCGCAGCAAGGACGCCCCGCCCAAATGCACCCAATCGCACCAGGACCACTAACCAGCGACCTCGCAATGACCCGACGACACCCAGGCATGTACATGTAAAGCACATGGACATCAGCACTAGCGAGACTCTACGGACAGATTCTGGCGATGACCTGGATGATAACGAGTCAGATGTGGGCGATACAGAGGCACAGGAGGATTATGTGGACTATGCCAGCGACGACGACTCCATCGACCTGTTCATGATTGATGTTGAAGTAGCTACAGCGGATAGGGTAACACCTCCATTGCCAACTATAACCAAGCTGGATCCATATATCATCCCCATCACACTAGTAGGGCATTCAGCACAGGTCCACACACAGGGTTTACTTGACACAGGCGCACGACATACATGCATCACGAGAGCACTAGCGGAAGAGCTGTCCTGTGAGATTGCCCCAGCCAGTGGCACCATCGTTTTGGCTGTGGCCGAGTCAAGTGTTCCACGACTCGGCACTACCAATATCACACTGCAGACAACTCAGCATACCATCGCACTCATGGTCGAGGTCCTACCAGGCTCCTGCTCACCACCAGTCATTATCGGCCGGGATGTTATCAGTACCTATGGATTACAGGAGCTGATGGCGGTCACAAAGGACAGAGGCGACCACCCGCTGATAGCATCAGAATTACCAGACATTCCGGATCCAGAACCGATGCCGCTCTCTGAGACTGCTGTCAAAGTCAAAGCTGCACTCGCTAATGAACTGGAGGCCAATGCTAGGTTCGATCGGTCACAACCGTGCCCACTACCTGATGCAGTGGTACATATACCGACGACTGTCAACCCACACAACCAGCGACGGCAGCCACGCTTTGCACCAGCCGAATCGGCAATTTGTGATGCGCAGGTGACAGCATGGTTAACAGATAGGGTCATTGTCCAAGCACCACCCGGATGCACCTCCAACTCGATGCTGTTCCTCGTGCCGAAGAAGGACCTGCAGGGGCGATTGACGGGAAAACGTGGAGTTGTTGATTTCAGGGCATTGAACCAGCTAACACGTGACGATGTGTTCCCACTGCCCACACCACAGGAGATCTTTCAAGATCTGGCAGGCAGTACATTGTTCACCACCCTTGACTTGACACAGGCATATCATCGTTTCCCTGTCGCTGAGGCTGACCAGCCAAAAACGGCGTTCACTTGGGCCGGTGAGCAGTATGTATTCGCACGAGCACCTTTTGGGTTAAAGAACTTGCCAGCCCAATTTCAGCGCGTCATTTCACGGTTATTGCGCAGATGCACATTCGCACGTGCATATATTGACGATATCGTTATATTCTCACCAGACCTTACATCTCACATTGATCATGTGCGTCAGGTGGTAGCATTACTCACATCGGCACTACTACCACTGA